ATAATAATTAAAAAGAATAATATATTTTTATAATAAATTTATTAATTATTTATTTTTAAAAAATATTAATATATTTATATTTAATTATTTTTTATTTTTAATTAATTTTTAAAACTATATATAAAAGCTAAAAGAATATAAATAACTTTTTTATTAAAAAAAATTAATTTATTTATAAAATTTATATAATTTAAAGTATTTTTACTCTATTTTATTTAATATTTAAATTATTTTATATTATATTTATTTTTTATTAAATATCTTTTCTATAAATTATTATTAATTTCTTATTTTTAATATTAATAAAATAAAAAATAAAAAAAAAATTATTAAATTTAAAAAAGAAAAATAAATAAATGAATAAATAATAATAAAAATTAAAAAAATAAAATTTTATTTAATTTAAAAATAAAATAAATATAAAAATTAAAAATAAATATTATATAATAGAGTTTTTAAAAAATAAAAAATATAATATTAATATTAAAAAAAGTTTCTTTTTAAATAGTAGAGAAAATAAATAAAATAAAGATATTTTTAAATAATTTTAAAAAATATAAAGAATAATCTATATATTAATTTTTTATAAATAAAATAAAAGTATTAAAAAATTATTTATATATTAATTATTTCTTTTTTTAATATTAGTTTAATTTTTTATTTTCTATATATTTTTTTTAAATTTAATTTAGTATCTTTATTAGACTAAGGATAGGTACGAGTTTGATAATCAAACTAAATCAACTCGAACCTGTCACAAGCTGACGGCGCTCCTTGATTACCTAAAGGTGATCAGAGGTTCACACCTGCCGTAAGACAGAAGGTACGAAGGTCTTAGGGAAAGCTTAAGTTAGAAGTGAGTTATTATAGGAGATGGCTTGGTACTAGGGTGAGATAGAATACTATAGCGAGACTATCTCTCAGTTCTAAGTATGGCTTTAGTCAGTGCCTGGGTCAGATAAAGGCTAAAGGTCCTTGTGAGCAGTGAAGACAAAGTTGACCTACGTTAATGGGCAAAGGGGTATTCAGTGAATATAGTATAAGACAACTAGAATGGTGCTTTGTATTAAGCAGTATGGTAAAACTGTAGCTAGTTTAATCGCGAGTATAAGACTCTTGATCCTGAGGAAATGAGCGTCTTTATATATATGGTATATCTGGTCCCTTCCTCTTGATTCTTCTTAGATCCTATCGTGGACCTGATGTCCTGGTCCCTTCGTGGACCTTTCATGTTCGGTCCCATAGGGACCTGTCCCTGGTCTTGGCATCTGGGACCTGTCCTTATGGTCACGTGATGTGTAGTTATTCCGTCCCGGAATCTTGTTGTCCAATGAGTGTATATCCTGGGGCTGTGCCGCAGGTGGTCTGTAACAGAACCCAACTGGGTTGCTACTAATTGAATATTTATCAAATTCAAATAAGTTGGTTTAGGTCGGGTATCTTTTAAATACCTAATTGAGTATCAAAATATTGATTACTAAGTCAAAATCTAATTAATAATTAAGGATTAAGCTTTAAATTACTCTATTTAGTTAATATAATATCTATAAATAGAAAAGAATTCTAAAAATAGACTAATCTAACTAAATTAGAAACTAAATAAAATAATTAATATAATCGATTTATATCTAGTCAATATCTAATTTGTTTAGATACCTAAACTCGCAGGTATAGAATGATATTGATACTTATTGAGTTGAGTTAAAAGAAGTCAAAAACCTGGTCCGAACCGACTTGTCTTTAGTTTAATCTTTATTATACTTTTAAAATATTTAAAAATAACTATTTTATATTTAAAAAAAAAATTAAATATTTTATTTAATATATAAAATATTAATAAAAAGCTAAAAAGAATATTAGTAATATATAATAAAATATTTAAAAAAATAATATTTAAAAAAAGTTAATATAGCTACCTTTTTACTATAATATATATATAGAAAACTATAAATTTAAATTAAAAAGCTATTAACTAAAATAATTATATAAAATAAATCTATACTTCTTTAGTTTTAGACTAAAGATAAATACAAGTTTAATAATTAAATTAAACTAACTTAAATTTAATTAGGTTATTACTAATTATATATTTATTTAATTTAAAATTATTTTAATAATTTAGATATTCCTTAGATATTTAACTAAATATTAAAATAGTGATTATTAAGCTAAAATCTAATTATTAATTGAAAATTAAACTTTAAATTACTTTATTTAATTAATATAAATTCTAAAAATAGATTAATTTAACTAAATTAGAAACTAAATAAGAAGATTAATATAATTAATTTATATCTAGTTAATATCTAATTTATTTAATTATCTAAGATCTATTTAAGTACCTAAAACCTCTAACTAAGTGCCTAAGACTATTATACTACCTTCTTTTAAAGATAAACTACCTTTAGCTTATTAATAGATTATTATTATCCTTCTTCTCTAGCTCTATATTTATTCATTAGTAGATTAATTAATTGTTTAAGTTTACTAGCAGTCTAGACTCTAGACTTTAAAAGATTTACTTTATAAAAGACTTTTAATAATATTAGTAAATATATAAAATTTAGAGCTAAATATTATATTAAATTATTATTATATTCTTTCTATTTAGCCTTATATTATAATCTTTTTTAATAGAATAGATAGTAATTTAGAATCTTTTCTATTAATTACTTTAAAGTATTATTTATTTTAATTAGCAGCGGGGGTAGATTAATTTATTCTAAAAGAAGGTCTATAGCTATCTTCTATAGTTTATCTAGTAAAAATATAGGGTAAATCTTTATTAATTTAGATAAATTAAAATAATATAAGTTTCTAATCTTCTTAAATATCTAGTAGAGGCCTACTATTTAGTAGTTAAGCTTTTAACTTAATTTATTACTCTTTTAGTTTATTATTATTATTTATATACTATTATCCTCTCTAAATATTACTTCTTTCTAATATTTATTTACTTATAGAGCCTAGATACTCTAAATTTTTTTTATTAACTCTTTAATCTAGTCTTAGATCGCCTATAGGTACTTAATCTAATCTCTAGCCTATTTATAGTTTATTATTTTCTTTAGTATTTTCCCTTTAGTTTATAGAGTCTAATTAAATAATACTTTAGGTTTATATCCTCTTTTAACTATAAAGAGTAATATCCTAATTAAATTCTATAGTAGATAAACTATAGTAAAATTAACTATAATGATTAGTTTAAATTAATTATCTTATTAATAATTATAAAATAGTTAGAGCCTTATCTAAATATATTAATTAATAATTTTAGTTTATCTATTAGTTTATATATAGTTTATAGTTAATAACTTTAGTTTTATTACTAATTAATATAATAATCTTATTCTAAAAGTTAGATATAAATTAGAGACTTCTATCTAAAATTATTATATTTGGTAGTCTATATACTATATATATATATTTTAAAAATAGCTTAGCTATATTCTTTATAAATATTTTCTTTATATATAAAATTATATAGAGTCTTTTAGTAAAGTAGTTAACTATTATATATATTATATTAAATCTATTTTTATCTTTTAATATTAATATAAAATCTATTTAAATATATTATTAGGGTTATAATAGTATTAATAATAGCTTAAATAAATCTAATATACTATCTCTAAAGGTTAAAATCCTTTAATATATATAGTAGTTTATAATATATCTTTTAATATTAGCTAATAGACTATACTAATAGTATTAGTTCTTAAATAACTAGATAGTCTTATTCCTTTCTAGATATACTATTAAGACTTAGTTATATACCTCTCTAATTAATATTATTTATAGATAGATTTAACTTTCCTAGCTAAAAGTAGATAATAAAATTATACTAAATAATAACCTCTATCTAGTTAGTCTATTATAAGTTTAATTATCTCTTTATTTTAAAGTACTTAAGAGTTTTATAATTAATATATATATTAAACTATAACTAAACCCTAGTAAGTTCTACTCTCTATTTTTAGAATAAATATATAATAGCTAGTATCTCTTTATTATAGATAGAGTAATTATATTTAGCCAGCGCTATTATCTTTAAAAAGAACTTAATAAGGTACTAGTCCTTATTCTTCTTCTATAATAATACTTCTATAACTACTCTATCTAATATATTAGTTTTAATCTTTATTTCTTAATTAATTTAGTAGTATTTTAATATTAGTATATTTATAAAAGTATTCTTTAACTATTAAAAAGCCTTTCTATATTTATTATTAAAATTAAATATAGTATCTTTATAGATAAATTTAAATAATAATTTTATAATTTAGCTATAGTCTTTAATAAATCTTTAATAGAAGTTATAGAACCTAAAGAAAGACTAGATACTTTATACTATTTATAATTTACTTTATTTTATAATAACCTTTATCTTTTTAGAATCTACTATTATACCCTTAGTACTAATAATAAACCCTAGATATTTTATTTTAGTAATATAGAACTTATTCTTTTTAATATTAGCCTATAAGTTACTACCATAACGTTTCGCTTTACGCCAAAGAGGCCGAAAGAGGCTCGATCTGCGGGCCAGATCCGGCCATTCCTGCGCAAGGTGGGCGTGTGCGCAAGCATCGGGGCCTTCCCCAGTACCGCACACGCACCACCGATCACTTTCACGTGACCCTTCGAGTTGACGCTTTGCTCGCGACGTCGAACATGAATTAGCATGTAACCGCCCATTTTTCGTGCGCTCGATCGCTCAATCACCCTCCTTCACCTTAGACTCCATTTTCTGCCCTGGTGCCAAAATGGATCGCTCATCGACCCCTGCCACGCCGAGGGCGGACGGCTCCTATATATTCTCCCCAGGACTCCCCCAAGATACCCCCAAGATACCATCTTCAAGTATCGCTCAAGATACCTTCCCCCATGCGTCGTCCGACTCTCCATTCCCACAACCGATTTCTCTCTCCACCTGTGCGGCGAGCACCATACCCCCTTAACGCCCACCCACGTTCTTGGTCCCCGTCGCCTCCGTTCCAATGTCCCGGCGCATGCAGCGTCGGCGTGACTCCAGCGGTGAGGGCAGCAGCGGCAGCGACAGTGAAGCAAGCACAGCTTTGTTCAGCCCTTCCAGCGCTTCTGGTTCCGATGCGAACTCCAACACAGGCTCCGACACGGATCTGACGTCGCCCTATCTCTCTGACCGGTCTGACGATAAAGGCGCGCCTTCTAAGAAAACCGGGAAATCAACAAAAGCGGTTCGACGGCCTGTGTGCGGCGACGGCGTATCGCGCAGGAGGGCCGTAAGACCAGCTCGCACCGTGCATAGAGAGCGAGCACCCGGCAACAGGGCACCACGCAAGCCACCCACCGAGCCTGGGTCCGACACAGAATCAGAGGACCCGGACGACAACACAGACGACGAGCTGTCGTCTAACGACGGTGACGGCTATGCGGACTCCACCATTAAGCAGATCAAACGAGCAGAGGGCATGTAGAAGCGGTGAGCAGGTCAGAGAACCCTCCATAAGCACCGCTAATGAGCCTTGCAGGTACTGTCGGATGAAATAGAGGGAACGCCCTGACAAGCCAGTATGGTGGTAGCCAGCCAAGGCGCTGCAGCTACTGGACTACGACCTTCTTTACCAATACTTTAACTGGCGCATGAAGCTTAAAAGGGGAAAGGGCGGTCGTAGACTGCAGCGAACCAAGAAAGTCAGCGCTCTTGAAACCGCCTGGAAATATTTTCAACGCTACTTCAAGAAGTCTAGGAAGAAGCGACTTGCCGGCCAGCTTATTCAGAAATGGAAAAAGGTAAAGTGACAGCTTACCCTCTTCCAGCTTACCCTCTCCCCACGCCCCCGTCTTCCTCCCCGCGCTTCCGCCACTGCAGGTCAGGATTCGGCTGACCTTCCCCGGCAGATCAAGAGAAAGTTGGCGGAAAAGTACGATCTAGACAACCAGGAGAAGGAGAAGACTCCGATGTACATAGAGGATCTGGCCGAATTCGAGGAGACGGTCCTGACGAGGTTTGAGAAACGATTCTACCTCGGACTACAACGAATACAACTTTGCCTCTACCTCCTGCTTGGCTGCTTCACGGTAAACCGACCGAGCGCCATCCTGCACCTGCGCTACAGGGACCTCAAGGTCTCCCTGCAGCGCGACCCTGACGGCGGCAGGCATAGGATCGCGATCGCCACCACCCACCGGTTCACAAAGAAGTATCTTGGCATGAAACAGATGTATGTTCCTCCCACCCTCTCTTCCTTCCTCCCCCCAACGCAACTATAGGAGAGGGCACGGCTCGTGCCACCCGCCGTGGCGCGCGGTGGGTAGCTGACCCTGACTAGAAATACATTTGTCTTCCCTGAGATAATCAACGACCCGTCTCTGATGCTGAGCATCCACACCTATCTTCTCGGCATACTCCTCGACGATGATGCGTTCAAGGCGCCCAACCTAAAGTCGATGGATGACATACAGCGCCTAGCGATAGGTAAGAACCGACAGAAGATGGATGTTCCACTCAAACCCTCCAAACTAGACCACTACGTGTTCTGTAAGGTAAGCATGGAAAAAGGGAAGGTAGTTATAGACAGGAAGAAAAGGATGTCAAGCGGGACCATGAGTAAATTACTTAAAGATTTTGGCGAGCTGCTCAGCTATCTTGAAGTCATGTTCATGCGCCGTTTCAGGTACGGCAGCGGGACGAGAATCAACAAAAGCGGTGAGACAAACAAGCCTTCTGTTCCCACATCCCACCAGAGACTGATATACCTCCAGGCGAGTTCAGCGAAGCGGAACAAAACCTCATCATGAACCACGCCAACATTGGCACCTTCCTGAGACACTATCTCACGCGAGAAGTCCACCAGCTGGACCGGGTGATAAGAGGCCTCGGCCGCGACTCCGCGATAATACAAGCGATGAGCCGCATAGGTGCCTCGATCGACCGCCGGCGTCCACGTGATATTCCGCCCGAGCTAAAGGCCACAATCAGCACGGACCCGGAGGTCCAGGAAGCCATTCAGAAGCTAGAAGCTTTTAAGAGTCGCGACCTAGACGACTCAAGGAAAAATCATGATAAGCTCGACCAGCTAAAGAGAAGGGTAATAAATACAAAGAAGTGGCGGCTTTATAAGCTTTGCAGGCAGGTTCATGAGGAGTTTAACGAGAAGTAGGTGGTCATTGACATTAAGCACCAGCTTTCCGGGAAGGCAATGGACGAGGAGAAGAGGGAGACATTAGGTATGGAGCTGCCGCCTAAGCTCATCGACCTCCTCGACAAGCTAATAACTTGGCCAGTCTCTGAAGACGTAGAGGCCGAGTGGAAGCGTCGAAACGCCGCCGTCGAAGCCGCCCACACATACTGCAGCGTGCGCGAGGGAGGCCCCCAGAAGGGGAGGCCGCCAAAGCGAGCTGCCCCCGACCCGCTGCCCGAAGTTGACGTCAAGAGGGTCAAGGCCGAGGAGCCCCCCCGTAAGAGTGAAGCCGTCAGGGCGCGAGAGCACATCGTTTCGGTTGCCTCCGGGGCGGAGGAAGCCAACCGGCCACGCGCCTGCTTCCACTGTCTCAAGATGTACGCAAGACCGCAGGAGGTGACAAGACATCTCCGGAGCGACTACCTCCCCTACCTCCCAGAACAGGGGCCGATCAAATGCCCTTTCTGCGGCATCAAGCTGGAGCACAAGCAGCACCTACGGGCCCATGTGGAATTGATGTATCGGACGCTGACGTAGCCGTTCCCTGCTGCCGCTGCCATACCTAACGATCCCAAGAAAATAAGCGGCTGGCCGCGAATGCGTTGGTTGGTTAGAGCTAGGCTCACCACAAACTTTTGATTTACAGATCTAGAATTTTCTATCCTGATAGAGGGCTCCTCAGGCGTGCAAGAAGTGCAATGTTCTGTTGAGCAGTCGGACGGGCCCACAGTTTCATATGTTGCACGCCCACGACGTCCGCACGTAAACCATAGTTGTTTTTCCTTTAATGTGTCTCTTGGCGCTGTCGTCGCCGTTGTAATCTTAGATACAGTAGTTTAGTAGAGTAAATGAATTCAATATAATGTTTGAAGTGTCAAAATTTCAGTTGTCATGTGCAATACCCACTGATCTCCAAGCTTAGCCAGAACGCTACTTAACAATGCGTGGGTGAGCCACGGCCCCAAGACAGCCTTGCATGCTTAATACGTGATGGAGTTCGAACCTATATAAATAGGCAAGATTCCCCCGATTTTCTTCTCTTTTCAGCCATAAGTTCACGGCCCCTAGCATATGTGTGTTTCCCGCAGTTACTCCCTATTAAGCATCTGCTTCGCAGCTGCCTTTAACCCCGGTATGATGTACTTATCGGCAATCAGGTATACATGCGCATTTATTTCTCCCGGAGGTATTGTGCTTTCTGGGGTTTTTTCAGTGTTGCAAGTATCATGTTCGGCTTCTATAGCCAGAAGATCAGTGGGGTTATCCGGTACAAGACTGCCTTTTCCGTTGGGTGTCATTTTTAACCCATCGTCGTAGTCTGTCTCATACAGATATTGTATCATTTTTCCTACAATGACCGGGTTATCGTCAGGTAGGTTCATGGTTCGAGACGACGCTTCCTGAGTAAACGGTCAGACGCTGAGATCAGGCTCTCTGAGGAATACATACCGCAAAGTTTCCTCTAGGGCCTTCTTGAAAAAGTCAGACTGGGAACAGACTATGCATCGATGCACGCAAAATGTCTGCGTTGTACATTTGAGTGTCAGGTCTGAGAATAATCCAGTCTTGAGGATACTAGGCGGGTCAGACTGGAAGATATGGTAGAAGAGGAAGGCTAGTTGGTTCTTACTCTGACAAAGCGCTTTCCAAGGACTCCATTTCTACCAGGCGGTTATATATCAGTCCCCTGTCTGGAGAACAGTTCGCGGACGGCTTGGCTGGGTGTCGATGGATGATTGTTTACAAGGAGGGGGGGCTAAACAGGCCAAACACTAGGCTCCAACGCTATCAGAACCTATTAGACAAGCCAATGATCGGGTACAGTTGTGACGTCTCCGGAACGCAGGTCAGTCAGCTCAAAGCTACTAATGTAAGGGAATCTGTTGAACGGAGATTCGGTGTAATACTGCCTGATCGTACGAAACACGTTAGTCAACTACGCCGTTTCATTAAATATCAGTGTCAGCTCTCCATCATCGAACAAATGCTACGCCCGGCGTTTTAACGCCTGTTTCAGCTGTAGCTGGCATCTCCGCGATGGCAAGATACATGGCCGTATGAGGAACATAAATAGGAGCTCAATATCGTGTATTTAGATGATCAGTGCTTGATAGATTGAAATCTCATAGATTGCTCCAGACCCACCTGACCAATCAAATCAATCAAATATCTCGTATCTCAGAGAAATCGATCTGGTTGAAATGTTGTCTCTGCCTCAGGACTTGTGTTTATATCTTCGAGCCATTTCCTCTCTCTTTTATAGCATGGTAGAGCTGCATGAGACGACCGTAGGGCAGACCCGAGCATTCTTGCTGCGGCATATTGCTGATATTCTCCTTGAGGTTGCCGTCGTGGCTTGCAGAAGTAGCCAGGAAATGGGCCTCTCTTTTTTGCATAGGCATTGTCCTGCATCATGTAGCTATGTTTGTCCTAAACAGCTATGTCTAGATTAGAATAAACGGCGGCATGTATTACTGCTGCCCCCAAGGGTTGCATAATATAAGTTAGTGCCGCGCAAGTAACAAGAACCCGGAGTTTTTACTTTTTGTTTGAGCTGGCATCACGCTAAACCATACTTGGACCGGCAGCCAAGCCCATCTTCCACTTATTTGCCTGTATTCCTAGGCATTCCCATACGTTCTCATATATTCTCACGAATTCTCACATATTCTCACTACCTGCACATATTCTAGTTTGTTATATTTCGCACACATTCCCACACTTTGGCATGTATTCTCATCTTTTCTCCATCTCTCACATATATTCTCACCCTGCTATTTGCACTCACAATTTGGTATAGCTTGAGAGTAAAATAAGTGCCCCCACGAAGACTAGGACATCCCCAGAAGAGACATTGTTCCAATATATAAAGAAAGAAGAGGCTCACTTCGATGACAAAGCCCAGTCGTTGAATGATGAACAGATGGAAACGGCTCGGTCCCGCCTCAAAATCCTGGTTTCGGACTTCTCCTCATGATCGACTTCTCAAGGTTACAGATTACTACGCGTTCGCAAATTTTTACTACAGGTCTTTTCCGAATTAGGGCCGGAGGTTTTCTTGCTATGCCTTTTGGCGGGATCCGTTACACTTCTGGGCAGAGTAAATCGCCGTGAATTGGTCCCGGCAGTTCGGGTGTGGTAGAGGGCTCTTGAGACGAAGAAGGCTGGGCTGGAGCGGATTGCGAAGGAATTTTGCCAAACCAATAATATTGATGAATTGATAATAGGAAATAATAACACATATGAGTGAAGTTCAATGTCAAGCCTATCACCTATCCCAAACTTCTGATCGTTGATATGGTAATCAGTGTTAGTACGCCAGCCCTCTCCGCAACTCGCGAGCAGTCCAGAGGCCGCCGACCATAGTACCAGCCAAGCGTTGACCGTGCGGGTTGACGACGTACCCGGACTGGAAATATCTGTTCTCGCGAATCAAACTCCACGCTCGGTTTTCGACCTAAGTATAACACAGCTCATAGGGTTCATCCAACGGGTTCAATCGTCGTCTAACAACCCACAGCAATTCACAGACACACTCAATTTGCTTCAACGATACCGTTCCAGTTGTCCAAATTTGGAGTATATACAGCTAATTTATCCATGGTTCGGCCTGCTGCCATCCATCGACATAAACATTGATTCGAAGGTTGGGTGGAGTGCAAAGGTGCAGTTATCTTGCGAGATGGCGGAAGAATTAATAACGTACGCTCGCGCTTCATAAGTCGTGACGCCGGAAGTATCGGACAGCTGGATAGCCTAAAACGGATATTGTCTCGCCGTCCCTGGCCGCGATAACGACGGTTCCTGACAATTTGCTCGTAAGGGTGTATCTTGAAGGGCTGCTATGTATTCTCACAACACCTCCGGGCTCTTGTCTCCTCAACAGAACGGCACGAACTGAAGGCAACGACTCAAATTGTTTCACATCTTTCTAGTTATTATCTAATATAACATCTTCACCGCACTAGAAAGCAGTTAGTCGAAGATTATCATTTAATCTTATTAGTTTATTATTGATATACCAGTCGTTTTGCCGTCTCCTTAAGCTCTTGCTTGTTATCAACGATACCATCTACCGAAATTCCAAGATCCTCAACTTCACCTGCCATGCTTTAAGGGTGGCTGGGACGATATCATATAATGTTTCGACTCTAATATTTAAAATATCTTACAATTTTGATATTTTTCTCGCCGACAGTGGTTATAAAGACTGTAGAAAGGGCTTGGAAGACGGCAGGCGGTGAACGGCGCCTGGGATAGCTTGAGGTGGCATGGTGGGGCATTTAGGCGGAAACTCTGCCCAACGCCCGCGGACTGTCCACTTGACTCAGCTAGAGAGCTATGCAGTATTCTCGCCGATTATCATCGGTTTTCATTAACCAAGAAAATTGGAGCATGGTTCCCCGCCAGCGACTGCCACCTGCCTAATCCGCAAAAAGTGTCAGCAAGAGCCCGGAACAACACGTGATCTACAAAAATACAATTGCTATTGGATGTGGAATGATCATAATAAAACATCATGAACAGAGGCAGCAAAGGCCTGCATATTCTCCTGCCATATGAACTGCCAAGCCGTAATTTTCTTGGAAAGCTCGATGTTGAGTGATGCCATGATAAATGGACAATTTGTGGTTAAGAACGTAGGATATCAATGAATGGCTGGTTGAAGTTGAATCAACACGTTTCATGTAGCCCATATTTAACTTCGCGGAAAGAAGAAATTCCGAAAGCCGTTAGATTATGTCAACTGTTGGCCAACCTGTCTGCTTGACTACGCTTAAAAGTAATCTACAACGCTTCTTCACGCTATACACAAATCTTGAGCGCCAGCTGAATCTATGGCAGTCACCCGTTTTCTAACAATTGCCCATTGAAGCCGACAGATCTGGCGGTTTGGATTTTGGCGGTCCTGGTTTGTTATCGCGTATCTTGCGTGTTGACGTGGGTCTTCTTGGAAATTTCCAACGAGTGGCTCAGCGTTGTTAGCGGAGACGTCAATGCGCGACCGACAAGGGCTGCGACCAGTCCTCTGACTAGCGAAGTTAGTGAGATGCAGAAACACATGACTACATCCCGCAGAGCCGTTTATGGCTGACCTTTGGGCGCTTGCTTCCCTTCTTTGCGTTGGCAACTTCCCTTAGTAAAACGCGAGCAGAGTCACCGACAAGACTATTACTCGATTTCCAACGAACTGCTCCGATCACCCGCAGGTGAGCTCCCGCAAGACTTTTCCCCTTTCGTCTACTTTAATACCTGGGAAATGCAGGAATGCGGGGAAGTGTACAAATATCTCAGCGCTCACTAAATCCCGGTCAGCGCGAGTGACGGTGGTACTGCCAGGTCTTCGGCATGTATAGGACACAGGAATGGGGACTTATGACTCCAACGAACCGCTGCCAGTCGTTGACATAGGTCGACGGTCCCCGGACCTCCTAGGGGCATAGAGCTAGGGACCGAAGTCTAGGTCGGTCAAAGACATAGCGGCTAAGGCAGGGTGACTACAGCCCACCCCTGGCCTTGGTCTGTGTACAAGAGACAGCTGTCAATAGTCCTTGCTGGTCCATGGACCGCGGTCCTCGGCCCTGGTAGGCCTGAGGAAGGCAGACTTGTGGCCAATCTAGCCAACGGACGATGCTAGCCATCAGTCAGGTTACTAAGGCCCTATATAGACCGAGGAATTGCCGCCGAAGACCTATATGACCTTCGAGCTAAGAATAAACAGCTGGCACTAGTATTCAGACTGAAACGGATACCATCCCACTGCAGCGGGATCGGACCATGAATAGATATACACCCACCATTCTGAGATTATATCTCTACGCCGGGCAGACTTAAGCACGCCTGGGTGGTTGTTTGCAGGAGATTTGCCCACCTCCCTACGTAAAGCCAAAGCCTAGATTTGCTCTAATATGCACTCGCCCTAGTTAGAAATCAACTTACCATAGCAAAACAAGGGCACGAGTAGACCCACATTAACCTTTTTAGGTTGGTCCCTGGTGCACCTTGGCGGCGGGAAGCAGGGGGCCACATTTATATGCGTGGTCTAGCTAACGTCATAGAACATTCGAGAAGGAGCCTGACACGATTCCCGTCAGAAGGACCTTGCAGTACCCTCCGTTTAATAAAATCGGTCACATGTCGTTGTGGCCTCCTTGGAAATATCCAACGAGGGGGCTTTCTCTTGTAGACATCGCACAACCAAGTTTAATAATGTTTCGATTTGGAGGAGCTGGCGGTGAAGCAGGGTCAACCGGGTAAAAATTGTCTCATTCTGTGAATGATAGTTGACAGAATATATAAATATAACATTATATGGCATTCATCCAGCCCTTGGATGCGCTCCTATAAACTAGAAAGAATTGATGTACATAAGTAAAAGAAAAGCTCAGTTTAACCCAATAACATCAGGTTCCTTCTGGGCTTCTCGAAGAACTTCCCTCATGCTAGAATACAGGCTCTTATCAGGCGATTTCCACCTTCCACCATTGGGAAATACGACTCGCCGTAGCTTATTGACACAAGGAACGAGCGGCCGGTAGTATTCCGTAAAGTGTTCAGCCGTAGACTTGAGAAAGTCTCTTTCGTCACCTACTCTACCTTTCTTTAACTCAGCGAGCTCCTCCGTATCCATAAAGTTCCACTTCTCAAAGCGTTCAACAACCCGGCCTTTCCCAGGGCCTTCGTAGTGGATGCATATCCAGAACAAGACCCAGAAGAATGATTCAAGATCATGCATGAAGGAATGTTGTTCATCGTCCAAGAGAACTCCAATCGCCATGAACGCTCGCGTGCCGGTCTTGCCTCGCGCCCCCGAAGCATCTTCCCGGTCTTCTCTGATGGCAAGATCCAGATCGATGATGAACGCCTTCCAAGACGTGTTTCCTGCGTCCTCGTTGATCATGAGATTGTTGGGAGATATGTCGCTCTGGAGCATGCCAGCCTGGTGGAGAGACTCGTATCCTTTGATGCATCCTTCCAGCGCGGCGAGCAAGGCAACCCTCGAGCTCGCCCTGTAGATCGGCTTGCCGTAATCCCGAACGATGACACGACGATGGACACGATTGGGAGTGGAGGGGGGGTGGGACTGCGTGCGTTTGCTGGGAGGCAACGACGGCTCGACACACGTGGAAGAGCGTTTCCGACTGGCGGCCCGGCTGCTCCCCTTGCGAGACCCGCTCCTGCTCAGCGGAGGCCTGGAGCCAGCTTGTTTGTAGTTATTTGCAGTTGTGATGTCGAAGCCCTTCCTCGCGCCGTCGCGGATGTCGTCATCTCTACCCCCTACCTGGACCGTCTCATGATGGTAGTGGCGCGCAACATTGACAACCCCCTTCTCCGTGGCTTCGCGTAGCAACTCCCCCTCCTCATCGCGCTCCGGATACTGCCACGAGTCTTTAACCACGAGGGTTGCTCGGGATTCGTCTCCGTCGCGATGCGTCTTCCAGCATGTTGTCGCTCGCCCGGAAACGCAGGCCGCGCGCCGGACCACCTCGTCGATGACCAGACGCTCCTCTCTGCCGTCCCGCTTTATTTTGATGTAGCGTGAGCCGTCTGCATTGGTGACAATCGTCGGATCGAATCCGAGCTGCTCCTCGTTCATCAGCAGATACCCGAGAATGGCCGAAGCAAATTGAAGGCCCTCCTCGTGGATATCGAACCGTTCCGACGCGATCCCTCCCAGACGGTTGAACTGCCACAGCCTCATGCGCGACCCGCAGAGCGTGAAGCTCGGCACGAAGAGGCGGGAGTCCTGCGCGGCCAGCACCTCTCTCGCGTATCTCCCCAGGTCGAGCCTTGACTGGGTTTCGTAGCCCGGGTCGTTCTTTAGCTCCCCCGGAACGAGTATCTGCGACCAGGCGTACTTGCCGTCCTCGAGGGGGTCGGTCCCGTCCATAAAACCGATATCCAGCTTCCGCTCAGCCGTAGAGCCCTGCAACGGTTTATTTGGCTGCGCCAGGGGCCTTCTTCGAGCCGCCTCGTCGGGCACGTGTTCCTTAAAGAATTGTTTAAGTTTGTCTATGACCCCCAACAACCAGGCCAGCACGGGTGCCTCCTTCGCACCATCCGGCCATCCAGTCCAGCCGGTCCCCTCGCGGTACAGTGGATCTTCTCCCTCCTTACATCTCCCAAAGACCGCCCGCGCGTTGGTCTGCAGCTCTGGGATATCTCAAAGAAGGCATCATAAAAACCCGGTATGTCGACGTACATATCGCCCAGCTCCTCCTTCAGAATGCCGTCCACATGTTTTCGGTGTTCGCTCGAGTTGGCGAAGCTGCTTGTGTTGCGAAGCCACGGGGTCTGTTGGAAAGAGGGCAGCGGGCGAGGCGGAGGCGTAGACTCGGTGACGGCGTCGTAGACCTTGTTCCAGATGGCTTCATCGGGCTCCTTGTCGCGGACTGCTTGTAAAAGAGGGAGGAGAGACTCAACTTCAAAGTTGGCCGCAATACGTAAAATGTCCGTGTAAAGTGCACCAGACCCCCTTGCAGAAAGCAATATGCGGCAAGCAGGAAGAGTTGGTAAAGCAATAAGAAAATCAAGCACTCTGTTCTTAGCGTTGTTTTTCTCGTCTCCCTCTGCTGAGATAGAAGTTCCGGAGTCGAATAGTGGTTGACAGATGCCGTACAAGTCACGAAATGCTTCTAGCCGGTCCCCGATCGGGTTGCTGCTTATTATCTCAGATTTGGTGGGCGACATGTTCGGGAACTTGCATAACGGAAGGAACAGTTCGCTGACTTGTCGCGAATCTCGCGCCCGAATGCTGGATAATTGTTAGTCCGGTGTCCGTAATAAGAATGGCTCGGGCGCCGACACCCCGATTTTGGATTAATGACGGATATGAGAAAAGAGAATTGCTTAGTTATATAGTTTCACACCCCCCTTAACAGGGCGTTTTCCTTTCACTTTCACCTGTGGATTCTTCTTCCCCTATTAAATTTTACATAAATACTGGAGCAAAAATTCATGCTGGGACACGAGTAATCTCAGCGAAATCCAAACCGATGCGCCCGCAGAGCTGCCTTAGCGCCTCCTTGTAATGATGTACTTTCGCGATGACTGGCTGGTTCATGTCTCTGAGCTGTGCCACCTGCTTCTTAAGGTTTTTATTCTCTTCTTTAAGGTTTTTATTCTCTGCGGCCAGTGAGAGAAGACGAGACTCATGAATCACTGTGGCCATATCACCCCTTCGCTGGCCCAGAGTGGCTACTTGCTTGGCTCCTCTCCCTATATCCGAGTCCGTCGATGCGGTAAGTGCGCGTGAGGCTTTGTCATCATAAGCTTGGGCTTCCTGGGAGAAAGGTACCCCCGCCTCCCGCCGGGCTCGTTCCAGGTCGCGCTGGATAAGCGCCAAACCCGCCTTGTTCCGCTCTTGTATAGCAGCATGCTCCAACTTTCTTTCCACTGCATCTTGCTCATGCTTGCGCTCCTCTATCTCTCTCTCCGTTGCCGCGATTCTATCTCGGAGAGCCATGTTTGATGAAATCAGACGGCTAGCACGTCTCTCCTTCTCTTCCCGTTGGCGACGTACCCGATCTAGCTGGAACTTTAGACACTGAATGTCTTCTTGAGTGTGACAAATAAACTCGTTTGCCTGCGCCGTATAAACTTCAAGTGCGCTATTGCGATCCTTTTTGTATTAAAGCTCCTCCTCAAGGCGTGTGATTTCATGATCACGCGCTCGTGCCCTTCATATAGCACCTTTCTTCCTAGATATTTTGGTGCTCTCTAACTATTTAGCTGCTAGCTATTGTTTAGTATACTCCTTTTTTAGTCTCGCGTGCTACTCTGAGAGACTTTCGTTCAGCCTCTGATGCCCTGTAACGACTTCGTCATGTAACTTCTACAGGTTATCGAGAACAGCTATCTGGTCGTCGTCCTGGCTGTCGTTGCCGAGCGGAGGTCTGTCGAGATCTGAGTCCGAAGCACAACGCCTTAGCATATTCCTAATAGTTGAACAGTAGGTTGTATATATATTGACGTGATTTGGGTGACAGGTCAGAAAAATGGCAAGGAGACGTAGTGCGAGCTTGTCATGCTTTATACCAGCCATTCTGGGCGCCCATTTCGATATCCTAAATGTGGACTGCGGAATACTCCCAGGTGGCCCCTTGTTCCCATACTGAATAGAAATTCACCACCGTGCGTCATATATATACGAAAAAGGGATATACACCAGCAGGAGCACATTAACCCGTGACATAAATCTATAGATGCTACGGAGGGAGAGATGATCCGGAGGTTCCCAATTCTTATGGGGAACCAGCGAAGAACAAGCATTCAAAGAAAAAAAGAAAAGTTCAGCCAAGGAGACATGCGGATACACTTCGACCCACAGAAGGAAAGTTACCTTGACACAGACGCATCAGACTGCGCGATCGGCGCAAGACTACAACAAAGAGACGACACATGAAGACTACGACTTGTGGCATGTTACGCAAGAACAATGACACCTGCACAACAAAACTATGATATCCAATACTACGGAGGAAGAGGAGATTACCTCGAACAAAGTACCATATATGCATTCCCATTCGAAATTCCTTTTATTGCTGCGCGTAGCGGGAGGACACCGAATGTCAAAGTGAAGCACAGCACATACACCAGTGTAGCTTCAGAAAGGACAGGGGATAGAATTTCCTACTCAATCACCGAGACAGCAGGTACATGATATTCCAGAAGCTCGCCATTCCTGTTCGAACTGGTTCCAGTTTCCGTCGGGTAACAAACAACGAGGCACTGTGAATGGTACGGCCGGCTGTGAACCATAACACTTAACAGCTTTTTGGCTTGGGGCTCTGTCTGGTCTGAATTCCACCGTCCACTCTCGTTTATAACCGTGTCGTGTAATAATGTCGGCGGAAACCTTGAGCTCCCCCTTCTCAATTGAGCACCAGTATTGCCATCTAGGGGTTACTTTTTGATCAAGCACCGGTTCCCAATGGTCGCATTCGGCCAAATAGCTCTGCTTGGGGTCCCCATACTGAACGACGCCCTCTCGTAACTGATTGATAGCTGTAAGGATTCGCTGGGCCATTTGCGGCGGAGGCCGAACAATATCGGAATTCCCCGTGCGGGCTTGTAGGCATGCTGGATTCAAGATATAATGTGAGACCAGGTCACACGACCTATCCACAAGGTGGCTCCGGAATCGAAATTCAGCACTCGGAAACGGAGAATCGACCCTCGCGCGAGATTGACTGTCAACGTTTTCTGGCTGGATCGACCAAAATAACACAAAATAACGCTCGCAATCAGGCGTAATCGGATGGGGCTCAAGCGATAGCTTTGCTATTGGAGCCCGTAATGGGAGGTCGGTTTGCATCCTTATTTCCACCTCTAGGATCGAAAAGACAAGAAAATAGGGAGCTAGGCCTGGCAGTTGATGCAATCCCGATTGAAAGTTGGAAGAGAGCTAGAGAAGAAGAATACAGAGCGAGTTGGTTATCCTTTATACCAGCTACCCTAGGCGCGCGGTTTGCAAGCCGCAAGACTAAGCTGCCCGTTGCGAACCAGGGGTCCGGAGCTCCCTGTTTGTGATATCTCAACGAGGAAAGCTGTGGAGTAATATGCGGCCTTAGCTGCAGACCGTGACATTTGGACGCCTCGCTTCCTCCGTTGGGCCACGAGGAAGGAAGGTCTCCGCGTGTAGTGTCATAGGCGTATGGATATCATGGTAAGCCTATCAGGTAGGAACATAGCACGGCTCGAGAAAGTATTCCGACAAATAATGCAACCGATGCTCATTTCTCTGCGTGCTTTAGTACACTAAATGACGGCTTAGATTTTTCAAGAGATGCTTAGTAAATGGAATAAATATATTTTAGATATCGACGCTTCTCCCGGCTCGCGCCACACATATACAAGGAATTGTTGTTCACCTGCCATCGAGGCATTTACATTGACGTCCCTCCACGGGCTTAATGTGTAGGTGGATTCCTAGCTCCTCCAGCCTGCCTATGTCCTCCTCCAAAACCCATATCCGTAGTCTCATATCGCGATTCATATTGCTCATGTGTAAGAACACCGTAAAATCCAACGTGTATTTCGTCTTGCCTTCGCGAGGAAAGCAAGCACGTTCAAGTCGGCAGTCGTAAAATGTCCCATCCCTACTATGCTGGTACATGTCGTCAAGCTGTATTTTCCGCCTTCTTCTCAGGCTACCAGCAATGAGGCATCGGCCATAGTATCTCTTCATGTCGCTGCCAATTTCCCTCTCGTTTTCCAACAGCATGGCTCTGCGGCGACTGATAAACCGTAGTGGGAGATAAGCACTCGACCAGGACTTTTGGTATTTCTCCAACACCACCGCCAGCAAGGGAGCGTCGACGGTCAACCCGAATCCCCCCCTTTCAAGAAATTTTCGGAATGAGGCGCGGTTGGCCACCACCATGTCTCGTGGATCAGAGGGATTATGGCACAAGGTGAATGGTTGGCCGATTAGGATAGTGTGGATGTATGGGGCGTCATCTACCACTGTAGGCGGGCCCGATGTTGGAGAAAGAGGGTTGTCTTGACCATCATCGTGGCGGTCTAAGGACGGGAGCTGCATAGGGAATGGATTATGTGTCGGGCAAGTATCACAGCGAGTAGGAGAGTTGAAGATTCATCATAGGCTGGTATTTTGGCTTGTTGATAAAACTAGGCGGCATTTTGCTCTCTTTATGCCTTGAACGATGTAGTAGGATCAAGCTCATCGCCCCTTTGAGACGTACGATCTTCATATTGTGACTTGCAGGCTTCCGCATATTTGGTCTGCAAATCTCAATTGGATGAGTTCAAAAATGACCGCCTCTCGCTTGATAAAGTTAGTCAAAATGTGTTGTCTTCCAGCCGAAACAAAAAGGGCGACGCGATATTAGCTGACCCACGCCCGGCAGATTCAAGTGCCGCACTATGGGGAAGCCCGCCAGTGATCGTACGGGAGTGGAGATCCATCTTGGGCGGACACCGCAGCAGGATGTATACTACCTCATTGAAGGACTCGAGCCAAAGCACCAGCCATAGCCTTACAGAAGGGGTTGGTTGCCTAGAATCATAATGTAAAAGAGATGCAAAATTACGTTGTAATACCACAAGCACTTCACGGCCAACGTTAGACATGTTCTTCAACCAAAAAAACACAATCGGGAAGCTAATCAGGGAAAAGAGAGGTAGATATCAGTCAAATAGATGGAATTTGACTTCGATGATCCACATTTTTCAAAGCGAGAGTCATCCTGTCGATCTGGCCCCATTGGATTTGGCAACACACAATCCCCTTCGCCTGATATCCGATTAATCTAAGGGATGGTATTATGATATTCTCTCAGTCCTTGGATTCAAGAAACGGAAAGCTTCGAACAGGGGCGTGATCGTGAAGTCACCTGATGGCGGGGTTTGGATCTTGTGGCTAATCCACTTGCCCCTCCCTCATGTTATATTTTGCGTATTTGCAACTTGGTTTTTATAGTAAGCAAATTTCCACGTCCTCTATATAAATGATAAAACGCCAGCTAGCAGAAAGATACGGTGCTACAATATGACGGGACACTGGTACCTTCGAGAAGAAAACCTCGATAGCACAGTTATTGATGGAACAACCGAGAAACAAGACCTTGAAGACCTAGCCGAATGGGTGCGCACGAAGGGTATCTTTGGGGCACATGAGGGACGATTAATTCTGACGAATCCTGACTTATGTTTGGAATTAAAACGTTTCCTGGCTCGGCCTAATACTCCGAAAAACGTAAGCCTCTAACAAAACAATGAATCGCAACAAACGGCGGCACTTAAATGACATTAATAGATGGTCGCGAGTTATATCGTTAGGTTGCCAGATAACGCTATACTCAGAAGCCTCCCTGGCCCAGCTACTTTACGTACCCTACGAGTTCACCCGAACACTCAGCCGTCTGCAAACCTTCTCGCGGGCGCCAGTACTTCGATAATCAGCCTGTCACCAACATCCATGATAGAATTTCGAGGAAGAGTGAGGATAACGCCCGGAATAGACGGATTGGTTATTCTCAGAAGCTCAACTGAGGTTGGTGGATAAATGCGATGATGGGGATGGAAGTGATCTCATCCAAAGGTTAAAGTCGTTGTCGAGACACCATAAATCCATCTCGAGAACTTCTTTCGGTTGGGCTTCAGCATTTTGGTCAGGATCGCTATTGTTATCTTCTTGGTGCATATGCATATGCGGTGTATTATAAATGATTTCTAGTTGATATTAGCATTTTTCAAAATTGGCATTGTTACGAAAGATTTATATCTATGTATACTTACCTGGTGGTAAGGCATCGAGTTGTGTCCGTCTCTCCGAAGCTAAAGGTGACCCTGGACTATGTCCGGCAAATCTATCGCTTTCCCTCTCCCCTATCAATCTCCTTCGTTGCCAATCCTGGTGCTCACTATCTTCATCTGCTAAGTAGGGCCGCTTGTTCGCGCGAGCTTGCTCTGCAGCGGCTCCGACAGGAAAATCTGGGGGCGGTGGGGTAGAGGACGTCGTTGTCTCATTGCTCCCTATTGTGCCATCTTCGGACCTACCATCAGACAAGAGAGACGAGCTCTGAGTCTCTGTAGCGCTTCCGATCTCACTATTACCACTGGCGTGAGGGCCGTAGTTGCTGGGATCGCCTTCGGCGGATGGCGACAGAGACGAACGTTGAGTATCACCATCGGTGTCGGAGCCGGGTGTCGTCTCACACCTAGCAGATGGTATTCCGTCAAATGCCTGGCCTCCACCGCCCATCGAAGCCCCGTGATTAGGCTCATAGTCATTAGGACAGTCTTCAGCGATACCCTCATTGACATTGTCCTTTGGACTGTTTAGGGGAGCTGAAGCCTCCCTCTGTGGGTTGAAAATAGACCCCTCTCTCGCCCTGTTTGCACGATTTGGCCCCCAAGGGATTGGGGGTATTCCGCCAGATACCGATTGTCGGTCTGGGCCACATTAGTGACGGAATTTCAGAAATTTAGAGACCAAAGGAATTTAAAGCTTACCAATGGCTTCTCTTTTTGGTTCAATGTTTCCTTTCGCAAGTTCTGATCGATCGATATGATTGAACAAGGCCATCATAACCCGACCCTGGCACCGTGAGAGCCCCTCGTAGTCCCAGCCATACCGCAGGAAACCCTCAATTATCAGTTTGGCACCGAGAATATTGAGTCTCTGAGCCTCCGCAGCCTCAAATTTCTGAGACTCCACATCCTGGGCCTGCAAAACCAGCTTTCGAAACTCCAGGGCAAGTTCTACTTCACCATCTACAACTTTGCGGGTCCAGCTATATCATGTCAGCCTTGTACAATCTGTTGCTCCAAGGAAACTTACGTGTCACTACTCAGGTTAAGGCAAATCACATCACCCGGGCCAGAATTCTGAAGCAAAGACAGGTACTGCCGTCCGTATTTCCGGTCGTCCTTAATCGATCTTTTCTGCCTTCCGGAATCCGCTGCGTATTTTTCGATCGCGGCTGTTGAGCGCCTGACTCCCGGAACATGGATGGTAGAAGCTGTTTCGTCGAGTTCGTGAGCGATATATAGCAGTACCAGCCTGCCTGCACACGCAAGATTGTGCTCGCTTTTATCGACGGCTCTTCTTCCAACCTCCATTCGAGCTATTCTCGACTCACCCCTTGGAAATATGTCATACTTGACGCTCCATATATTATTGAGCTCTGATCTGTCCCCTAGAAGCTGTGCAGTAATCTTTTGAATTCGCTCAAGCTTCGCTGTATCTTTGACTCCTTTCCATCGGAAATAATCCTTCGCGATCCTCTCTATCTGGGGACGTTCTTCGCGTAGGATGCTGGGAAAATCCGGCGTTGGGAGAGGCACTGGGGAGGGCGGCGGTGTTGGCGGACGCCATGGATGAATTTTCAGTTCGGATTCGGGTTGGCAGCGGGATGGAGTAGGGTTACGTAGAGGTTTCCGGGGCGGCGGCTGCGGAGATAAAGAATGTGAAGAAGGCTGGAGTGTTTTCTGTGCTGCATGCTGCTGCGACAGATGCTTGAGTAATTTGATGGCATCTTCCCATGGCCCTCTTCTAATGAATTGTTCAAACTCCGATAATAATTGCTAGCAAGATTAGTATGAATAGAACTAAAAAAGCGTCTTGAAATCCGTACCTGCGAATTTAACACGTTAGACGGCGTTAACGCTCCAACATACGGATTCCTCATTTTTCCCCTGGTATTGACCTTTCGATCGTTCGAAATAATCTGGAGAAATTTTGGATAGTCGAGCGGTTCTGCTAAACCACGTGATGTTAGAGGGCGGCCGCCCTCTAACATCACGTGGTCCTTCCATCCGAAAGCCTTTCTTCGATCAGCAGACGACTAAGTGGGGCCCTAAAAAAAGGTTTGGTTTCCTGGCACATCGCCCAGGCCCAGGCTCTTGTCCAAGGGGGCCATCTCCTGGCTAGTACCCAACCAGGGAAACAGTTTCTACAGGTGCTCCCTTGCCCTTCTTGCGAACATTACATTGCCGGCTTCAATGAAAATAGCAGATTCACCTGTCTCATATTCTTCGAGGCGATCTATAAAGCAGGCTCACCGCTCTTGGGCTTTAGGGCGCCTTTCCGCCTCTCTGCCTTCCCCCCAGCCTTGCGCCTACACATGATCTCCCATCTTCGTCGCCTGGCGGTCCGGTTGACAAGATGTCCACATTTGATATCTTCTGCTGCTTTCCTTGGCGGGCCGAGCAGCCTTCGTCCCCTTGCGAAATCCAATATCGACGTGGCTTTCCGTCGCTAGGGCCGAACGAAGGTTCGTCCTCCCTTTCGGACACATACTGCCCTCCGCCACCCATGTCTACCGGCGGCCGCCCATGCGATTCTACCCCCTACTTTGAGGCGAATTCGGAACGTGCTGCTCTACCCAAACCGCCTCTACCTTCCCCGACAATAAAAGCACCATCAATAGATGCAGCGTATTTCAACAGCTGTGCCCCATACAGTCACGAGCAAATGGGTAGCTCCACACCCGATCCACGTCACCCGCCAAACCCACCGAGCGCGGGTGCCGAAGGACAGAACCTCCGCTCTCTAGGCTGGAGAGACACTCCCCCAGTGCCAGAGTGCCGAAAGAGCACAGGTGGCGCAGCGCTCCCATCACGTTCGAACGGTTCTTTCATGGACCTTCGGAGCCCCTGGCAGGAAAAGCGTGATAAAGTTTTTGGTATGCTCTCCTTTTGGGAGCAACCTACCTGGTCTGGATGGCGGTATATCTGAGATACGAGATATTTGATTGATTTGATTGGTCAGGTGGGTCTGGAGCAATCTATGAGATTTCAATCTATCAAGCACTGATCATCTAAATACACGATATTGAGCTCCTATTTATGTTCCTCATACGGCCATGTATCTTGCCATCGCGGAGATGCCAGCTACAGCTGAAACAGGCGTTAAAACGCCGGGCGTAGCATTTGTTCGATGATGGAGAGCTGACACTGATATTTAATGAAACGGCGTAGTTGACTAACGTGTTTCGTACGATCAGGCAGTATTACACCGAATCTCCGTTCAACAGTATATATCGTGAAGTAGCACGTGTATGTTCCTTCGTTGTCTGAATGGTTTCCAATATCTCTCATCCTTTACTACCCTCTAGGCTAGAAGGGTTCTATTTCGGGGAATGCTACCCTAGCCCTCCACTGCTATATGTACTACGCATGAAAGGTTTTATTGCTTGCTTGCCCTAAATTCTCTCGTTTATTACCGTCCTGTGTGACAATGCAAGCCCCCTCGCCGAAAGTTTCTGATGAGCCTCACTTCATGTTACGTAACAGGGAAAGCGTCGATCTGTCATCTGACCCACAGATTTGGCTTCCGGGCGGTTAAATACACAGTGGTCTTCTACATGCTCATTTTTTCTCTGTGCCATTATTTGTGCTATTAATCAAGCCATACGTTGTCTGTATAAAAATTATCAGCCCCCACTTTATCCGCTCAACTATCTACGCTCACGTATTATTTATTATACATATGTCCTCTCCCAGAAGCGGCCGCCATCTGTTCACGTATATTCTGAGCAACCCCAGCTCCGTTACCACACCCAGAAACACGACCAGGATACGTCATCCGAGATAAAGTTATTTCCTGTTTGCACTTTCCTCCCTGGACACTCCCTCCCTGGGCGTTTCCCGTCTACTGCCACCGGAGGCGGGCACATGAGTCTAAAACAACCGCCACACACAGTGTTTGACCACCACTCATAGGCTATAACCTTCTCAATGAAGACAATGTCGTCTAGTTCAGGCGGGGACTCTCTGGTATCTGCCGTTTTCTGATCGATTGGGGGAGCCATCTCTTCTCGGGTTCGTCGAATGTGGGGCCGAATGTGGGGCCGACCGGCTCCTGGCTTGGGCTTGGAATTGCCTTTCAACGTAGGGCCAAGCGTTGAACGCGACGTCTTATTTTTCAACACATCTTTGATATCCCGGTTGCCGGAACTGTCGTCCTCTTGCGTGCTATCTGAGTCTGTTTCCCACACTGAGTTGCAGGGTGCAAGGCTTCCTTTTGGGTCTGATAAAGGCGGTGGCTGGCTCATCGCTTCGGTGGTGGTTGGGGTTTAGGCACACCAGTGGTATCGTAAGCTCCCCGTCCGCAAGGCGTGGTCTCGAGGTTATGGGTGCTTAAGATTGTCATGAGTTTGTGGTTTCTTAGAAAGGCGGTTAAGAGGACGAACGGGAATAACCAGAAATAACATGGCCTTATATATTATATATTCTGCCCCATGAAGATGTTACTAGGCGTGATCGTCTAATCTAGAGTATACTGTGAACCAACCAGCGATTATGAGCAAAAACCGGCACAAGCTTCAAGCAGACGAATAGGATATGTAAATGCCAACGCTCTTGGGACAGAAGCTTCCAAGGCACTTTTACAATCTAGGCCCCTCGTGCACAACATGGCGGAGTGGACGGTCCAGGGCTGCATAAAGAGGCACGACTGCAAATGCGCCATCGGCCCATCGTGCCCCAGTCCCCAGACGGCTGGCTGACCGAACCACCCTGGAGCAACAGTCAGCACCTCGCTTCCGCAAAATGATCTGATAACGATTCATCAATCACCCTATTGAGCGAGGCTCGTGTCGTTGGAGCAAACACAGCTGCACCGCAGGGGTACGTGCAAGGGAGTCCCGCGACCGCCGAACCATGTTCTAGTTCAGAGCAGAATGCACAACGATCGTCCCGGAGAAGCTGGAGCTGGGCAGAGTTGTGATGCAGGGAGATGCAAAGCTATGCGGACTAAATCCAGCTGGTGGGTGGATATATAAGGGCGGCACCCCTCGCTATCCTTAAGACATGTCTAACCAAACGCAAGTGTTACGTTGCAGGACCGCATTCCGACCCAATCTTCTATGGTCCTATAGCTTATCAGCAGTGATGACCTACACTATCACCGCCTGCAATTCTTGTCGAAAAAGAAAAATTCGATGCGGGAATACGCGTCCATGTCACAATTGTCAGCATTACGCTATAAGCTGCAAAGCAGTGAGTACAACTAATATATTGGAGCTCTCGGATTTTAACCAACTCCTCGATAGGGTCAATGTCAACGATGTCATCGCCTATCTTTAGACTGTAGCGGTGGATCTTCATGTTTGGGGTGCAACGAGTCTGGGAACCATGCGTATGGACTGTAAGTATAAGTTATTTTTCCGCGTAACTACACACGAGCACATTGTACTAAAGTCCAGCAGCGTGATAGCTATACGAATTTGCGAAAGCAATATCAAACCCTTTATGTCGTATATCAAAACGTTCGCGGTACACTCGTCGCAGAGGAAGAGGCACATAAGATATTAAAGCAAAAATATGACACCCTAAAGTGGAAACTCAAGACGGTAGCACGTGCAGGAAAACTGACTCAGAAGTTATTCAGGCAGCAGCGACACGCGGGCTGTATGGCCGGAGGAGGAGCTTCGTGAGTACTGTGGTTCTTCTTCTGCCGATTATCTTTGTATCTTATAATCTATGATGTACTCTATAAAGCAAGTGCCCCAGACCCATTCGGTCTTTAACGCGATGTTTTTGTGCTTGCCGTGCCGTTGGACTGCTCGGGATCGTTTATGGGAAGCTGTCCAATAGGGGGCTCAGGCGCCATACAACGTATGTTTTACCTAGTCCCAATTGGTTACGCTCTGCCTCTCCCTTGGGTCCCAAGCCAATGACCTACGTCTGCGAATACTGTATAGTCCACCAAAGTGCGCAGACAGGAATGCACGACGCATGATGAATTGGCAAGGGATAGCCTGTCTGCCAGCCGGTGATGGTATTGCCAGATTTTGCTATAGGAGAGCTCGTTCTATATAAAGCCGCATCTCCTGCTGTCTTTATTCATTGTCATCAAGTTACTTCCTACACTACATCAGATTGACGGTTCACGATTCGCCATGGGCGTTATAAAATATACAATTTACAGCGGCAGCGGCGATTATCCAGCTCAAAATGACGAGGTGAAGGCGGCATACTTATGCTACCTTAAAGGTAACAATAACCAGGAGGGTTATCGGGAAGAAAAGCAGTAAGTCCTCTTCCGCACATTCTAGACTGTTACTAACCCTTGGTAGGGTCATCATGAAGGGGGACCCGGGCTGTTACAAATTCCGAATTGGGGAAGGACAAGTGATTTCTGGTAGCATCACCTCGGGCATTAGATCTGTTGCAGCGCTGAGTTATTTTCTACTAGGGTTTGAAGAGGGGGTCTCTCATATGAGACCCAATGAGCTGAGCTTCCTCGACGTCACCAGGTTCGCGCTCTTCCGCATTTAAATAACTATGGTTAGTATGGTCCGTTTGCTAACCCAAACTAGTGACCGCGCATGCGGTGATATGTATGGGAGACTCTTCTCTTTAAGGTATTCTACTTACATTTTTAGGGGATTTCCCGGGTCAATACCGCCAAACTCGGATATGCTTTTGTATGAATCCCTTCTCCTCGCGTCCTTGGCTTGAGTAAGGCTAACGGCCCACAGCCTTGTCCGCATAGAGAGCATCACTCGGCCCGATTCCGAGAGGATATATGGCTGCACTTTCAAAGATTGCATTCGCTTGTTTGGTAATTATAACGCCTGGGTCGAGCACGAAAGGAAACAACACTGCACACGTGAGATCTGGCGGTGCGCCGTGGCCAATCAGAATGGGGAGGAATGTGCCAAGCTGTTTGAACGTGCCCAAACATTCAGGCAACATCTAAAGGGTGATCACGGGTGTGCACCGGAACCGGAGGAAGACTATGTCAGTGACTGCTATATAGGAGGTGATTATCAGGGTCGATTTTGGTGTGGTTTCTGCAGAAAGACCTGCCCCGTGGCGGAAGAGGGGTTTGAAGCAATGGAAAAGAGACACGAGCATGTCGGCGGCCACTTCAAGGATGGGCAGAGTATCACTGAGTGGGTGGATGCTGGAGGTCGCGAGCCAAACTGGTCCAGCACCCCTGATAGAGTACTCGAAGTCGTCGGCCTTCCCACGCCTGAGTGTGTGATTCTCCAAAATGGGTTGATTTCTAGGGCCCGAGCCATTAGCCACACCTCTTTGTGTCACCACTACACTGAGTAGAATTCATGCCTCTTATATCGGATATCTCGGGATTAATCATATCAGAGGAAGACGAGCTGAAGCGCTTCAATCAGCCATTACATTACGTCATAGAAACTTATAACACGGGCAAAACCCCTTTATATAACCACTAGTAATAGAACCTCCACAGGCCATTAGTTGCTCCGTTATAAAAATGCCTGAACCCTTCTCGTCCCTCCCCCTTTCTTTTTACAACATGAGGATAAGTAACATCAATAAACTAGGGTGGTTAGCATCACAAGTTGAACACGACATACTAACTTTGGCATTTCCCCCAAGTATTTGATACCCCTAAACCGACAGCCACCTCGATCTCAGTCCACATATATAACCTGCGCCGCCCATCAGCGGCTGCCGCCATGGCTCTCAAGTTTGGTCTCACGGCGTGCTTCGTTCACCTAATCCCCCTTGGTATCTACAGGCAGGATGGACCCAGCTTTCTCTGTTGGAGAGTACCGCCCTCATCTAGAACCCGTACCGAGCTCGGCCAACGACAACTTCTTGATCAACGACGACTTTGACCTCGTCTCCCCTTACGCGTTCGGGCGGGATATGCCCAATTCTCTCGCCGCCACTACCCAGCAAGCGCACGCTGACTTTGCGGTCACTCTGGCTGTGCTGGAGCCTAGCATAAATAATACCCAGGATGACGTGGGTCTGCCCGCCAGCCGACCTGAGATCACGGTATTTGAAGCGGGCATCTACAGCTGTACCTACCGCGGCTGCACCCGCCGCTTCGACACTCCCGCGTGCCTGAAGAAACACCGCAGAACCCACCTCTCTATTCCTGGCCGCGGCCTCAGCGTACGCAACTCGCAAACCGGCCCTTACCGATGTGACCGTATCAACCCATCGACGGGTAGGCCGTGTAGTAGAGAATTCTCCCGGCCGTACGACCTCACCCGCCACGAGGACACAAAACACAACGTCAGCAAACTGAAGATTCGATGCCACCTGTGCGAGGAGATTAAGACCTTTTCGCGTAACGATGCCCTTACGAGGCATATGCGCACCGTCCATCCCAGTGTTACCTGGCCCGGAAAAGCGGAAGCGCGGCAGTGATCGATCGATCGATTATTTATCGGTCGTCCCGGAGTGATGGGGTCCGCTCAGTGAACGTACGGATACAGCATATCCTCAACGTATTTGGCCCTGAGATACATGAAGCAGTCACCGAAAGCCCGATGCGCAGGAAGGAACTAGCGGAGGGGATGCGTGTGACAGAGTGGGTGTCAATGATGCTCACAATGAATGGGGCTATTATCAACTTAGCTCTTGGTTTAGACGGAGGCGTCAAAATACAAACAAGCTATATACCTATGCCTTTCTATCCTTCCTTCACTTTTCAGCCTTTGATGTACAACTTAATACCGGATTCAACCCGGCCCTGCCCGTTTGAACCTTGTTGATAAATTCCAGTTGAAGCTTATATCCGAGCAAATTTCACAGTTGCATCTAACTGTGACTTTGAAACCCGCTGGGACCTGTCCTGTCGCTTCCTTTGAGGGCTCGTTATGTTCCCAGTGTGGAGGTGTGCTCATGTCTGCCGTGGGATCCCAAACCATAATTTGCTTTCTCCTGCCTGTAACTGTTCTATCGTATCCCTTCTCGTCGAACAGTTTAATACTTATGTATTCTTCTTTCCCTCTCAATGCTTCTCCCGGTTTAAAGGGGGTGGAGATCATTTCCGCATATCTAGACTGGCGAGTGGAAACATGTATACCGAGTAGACAACAGGCTATGGCTTCTGAAGAGTCAAACGCAGGGGAACAACGCCTACAGCTGAAAGAGATGAGTGGACGCTCGTGACTGTTTTATGTCCAACCTGGAGATATCATAGCACGTAGTTAAGGTTGTCAGGTGATCACCTGGCGAGTTGCATTCAACCACGTGATACAACGGGCCTGCAGCTGCCAACATAACTAGTGCTTAGTCAGAGATTTCGGTTTTGTGCCATTTACTAGCCCTATCGGTTCAAGCTTGACAAACCGGTCGATCTGCCCACGTATACGTACCTTACACATTTAAATGACTTTTTAAGTTTCAAGAGCGTTAGTGTGGAAGCCAAATCTGGTACTGGCGACGCTAACACCCACACTTCTGTGGATGCTGGTGGCCATCGCATTCCGAACTCTCGTTTTCTCGGTGGAATTTACAGAGTGCGCGTAATACTCAGCACCTTAGTATGTTTTAGTTGAGCCTGGGCGGGCGTCAGGGAAGCATGCGGCGAACTAGATGGCACCTCGTCGACTAGCAGTGCAGCTCTCGCAAATGGAGCAGCAGCACGGCTTTACATAGGTGCTCTTGCTCTATATAAACGGCAGATATCCACCATGACTGAGCCTTTGGAACTGCATTTCTCTTCTATATGTCCGAAAACCCGCCCAGATGTGTGACTATACTCAGGTCGTATACGGATGTGGATGCAAATCCCACACCATTGTACAGGCGTGGTGTGAAATCTACCAGCAAACACAAGTACGGTGCCGACCTAACATTATGAACCCTAGGGAATTAAAGCCTACCTGTGGTACGATTCACCCTAAAATGCAGTGAAGGGCACCTGCTAATAATAGCTAGGTAAATGTCAAGCTTTAGGCCGAAAGGTCTCCAAACGTCCTTCAGAGCCCAAGTTACCTCTACCCTTGGAGATTCTTAGGGAGATCTGTGCATATGCCGATGTCGAAACCTGTGCAAACCTCGCTTGCACAACGAAGCAATGGAACGCGGCGGCATACCCTACGCTATACCGAAGCATTAAGATAGAGAACCCCTCGACTGCTGACCGGCGCGTCAAGGTATTACGAAATACCCTCGGGAATAGCAAGGCAGCAGTAGATATCCGCAGATTCAGTGGAATTTTCGCGAACTACAACTCTCAGTCCCACCTAGGGGAAGTCCTCATGAAAGCAACTAGACTTCAATCGCTGGAAATTTGTTTCCACGGGGATGAGAGACGTGGCCTATGGACACAGAAGGCCTATACGTTTGACTTCTCCTCTCACCCCCACCTCGAAGTCATGCGGGTACCAGGGGTTCTTCTAAGGAGTATGGCAGCAGCCTTGTCGGACCCGCACACAATCGCCCAGCTCATGCCTCCGAGCCTCAAGATCCTTGGAATTCAAGACCGCAGTTGGAATCCCGATGCGGAGGCGGATTTCCCGGAGGTGGACTTCCCGGAGATTATCTTGGACTATATTAAGAAGTCATCTTTGGACTTGTTTAAACTTGAATCAAATCTAACAGAGTGGACAAACAAGAGGGCTACCTTGCGTGCGCTTTGTGAGCAAAAACCAATCAAGCTGGATGACTCTAATTGTGCTTGTAATGCTCGCTTTTTGTATATGGAGTAGGTTATCGAAGCGAATGCAGTTTACAACTCTATGTTTTTCTTTTTATTCTCACGTAATCATATCTTAAGATAGCAAACCATGAGTAGTTCGAACAAGCTAAAGGTCCGTAAACCTTCAAAGCGCCACAGCATAGATTGAGTGGAACTGAAAACTCTCGATGTCAACAAGTTAGCGCGCCCTTAGCAAGCAGTCAACTAGCTGACCGGCCCCACTCAACGGACGTACGTGGTGGAGCCTCCGGAGCCGTTGGTTCATTGGTTCTCAGGGTCACTTATGGGACCGGCTGGTGTAGGAAGGCGGGAGGGAGGTCCCAAGGCCCCTCTTCAATGGCTGGATCAAGGTCGACCAGAAGACGGATTCAAATTTGCCCTGTTGTGACCGCCCGAATGAGAAGGTAAAAAATGCAAGTGGAGGCGGCGAGGTCTGATAACGTATCCTGAATTCAATGGGAACCCCGCCACCCTAAGGAAGCTACCAGGTTTCCTCCCAGAGGCAGCGGACGTGGTGGCCGCCCGACCTTGACCACCAGCGGCGCGGTGTCCCAGCAGGTATACCGATCGACCCTATCCTCGTCGTCTAGTTAGAATATTCCATCGCTGTTGAGAGATGCTGGGCAGGTACGGCCAAGCTCGGCAAATAGTTGAACGTCTCCCCCTTTAATTAGAGCGAACATCGAGTCGGCGTAGTCGGATTTAAGGTGCTCCGCGATGGGCCTGTCGGTTCTGCGGGCGTTAGGTCGGTAACCCAACGACAAGGATAGTCTCATTTGAGGCTGGCCAAAGAGATTCTCGCATCTTTCTCCGCCTGTCGTAGAAACGCCACCGAGAGAAAGGCGAGCTACATGGGGTATTTTCTGCATGTCACGCGTCAGACACGCGTCAGTCCCTTAACAAGTTAACGAAGCACGCACTCGCCGAGCACGTCAGTCTCTGCTCACTCTGTGGATGGCGGCTGTCAGATGAGGCTGTCTACGACTTCTCCTTGCAGGCAACTCTGAGACTGCGTGTAATGTCATTTTACCACCTATCCCTCCCCCGGGCCTCGGCTCTGTCCCCTTTGCGTCTATTGACAAAACAAAAGTCGAGGTGTTTATCCACGAGCGCCGAGAATACCTCCACTACAGGGCTGGATTATCCCTCTTTCGCAATACTTCAAGGCGATGGATGTTAGTTGTCCCTTTGGTGGTGTGTCATAGATTGCTCTGCTCACGATATCTAGCTGCAATGAAGATACCCGGCTTCAGGAGCGATATGTGAACTTCAACATTGCAGAGTTGCGGCGTGTGGCAGCGGAAGCTACAAACCGACCGCAATGTTCTCACATCATCAAACTAGCTAAAGGAGGGTTTAATAAATATTCCTCTTAACCATAGACGAAGGGAGTGAGGTAATCGCACGCATTCCGACCCCGATCACCGGTCCTCGACACTATACAACAGCCAGCGAAGCCGCCACGATGCAATTTCTTCGAGACTCCCTACAGATACCGGTACCTCGGATTCTTACGTATTCATTCACGACTAATAACCCCGTGGGAGCAGAATACATAATAATGGAACAACTACACGGCGAAGCCTTGGGTCGAGGTAGCTTTCTCTATCGACTACCGAGACTGCTAACCTAATAACCCAGGTAGCAGAAATCGAAGGGAAGATATTCAACTTCAAATTCCCGGCGTATAGCAGTCTATACCATAGACATGACATTCCCGCGGAATCAAGGGTGGATTTTTCGTCGGACGGGGGTGATTTCTGCATTAGCCCTATTTACAAACGTCAGTTCTGGCACACGGTGAGAGAGCAGAGATACAGCTCGACCGCGGACCTTGTATATTTCCCCAACCTCGACACACGGGGCATGGGAATATTCTAACGAGATATTAGGGACCACACCTACGGATTGCGTTGCGGCCCCTGCTCGTCGAGAGCTTGCTTGGACATCGACACACAGAAAGCCAAGACCTCGTTGGGCCTTTCTCCTTCCCACTAAAGAGGATATTGATGTTACAGACCATCTGCGGCGCAGCCCAGATAAGTACGCTCATTGGATAACAAGGTTCCGGCACGGAACAACTACTCGGATTACGTGACGATCTGAGGTCCCAAATGCCAAGACGGACTCCAGGTCCACAAAGGGACCTCACTATCATGGTCCACGTATAGGACCTGAAGGAGTAGGTCCACGATGGGACCTGCAGAGCAGATAATGGATGAGGGACCGGATATACCTATGTATATAAGGGCACTCATCGCCTACAGGATCAAGAGTCTTATACTCGCGATCAACACCGCTACAGTTTTACCATACTGCTCAATACAAAGATCACTATTCCATATGCTCACTGAGTACTTCACTTGAATGCCCTTTGCCCATTGAACAGGTCAACTTTATCTTCACTGCTTACAAGGACCTTCAGCCTTCACCCGACCAAGGCACTGACTGAAGCCACACTTGGAACTAAGAGATAGTCTCGCTTTAGTATTCTATCTCGCCCCGGTACCGATCTGTCTCCTACAACAGCATCACCTACCAGCAAGGCTTTTAGGATTATTCCTTTTTATCCTACGACCAGCCTGAACCTCTGACTACCTTTTGGAGTCAAGGAGGGCTAGCGCTTGTAACAATTGACCGAGAGGAACATATCTCACTTTTATCCCAGTATCTACAGATATCAGCATCTTTAGTCCCGTCTAGATCAGAGATGGGCACTCCCATATTAAGACATTCGGACCTAAGCTACACAAAAATCCTCCTTACCCCCAGGACGAACAAGATAGAATCGATCATTGATTAGCAAGATGCTGCTATTCTTCCTCTTTTCATACAGGCAGGATACCCAGCATTCTGTGAACATAACCTCTCGCAAATACAATCTTTAGAGACCCCAAAACTTCCAAATAATTACGATAATATAAATAAAGTGGATAAATTGAAAGCTAATATAAAATTCCGTTTGGAAAAGGCCAACCTATACTACTATACCGCAACTAGCGTTGAAAACGATCTACACTTGCTAGCTCTCCGCCATCCTGGCCTCACGGTGCTACAGTACGCTATCTCGCATGCCGGAATTCCTTGGGACGCGGATTTAATCAGTTTAAAGGCTTCCCTTGTTGAACTGGCGAAAATCTGGAGAGAAATAACTCCCAGCACCTGTCTAATTTCATTCTCTCCTTCTGAGGAGAAGACGATTCTACATGACATGTCTGAGTGGAGTAAATGTGCAGAAATACTTTCAGACATACAGAATTCCCTTGGAATCGATCGCGAAGGTGGCATAGACCCAGAGTATTTCGAACATGCGCGCGAAATGATTCGGCGATTGCGCATACAAGTATATACAAACGCAGAGGAAAAAGATAGGGCCCTTTTTTGGAAATCATGGACTTATAAGGATAATAGTGATCATTCTCCACCTCCTGTACTTTAATTGTACCAAATTCCCATTGTAATATACCTCATATACTCCGTACTCCTTCTACACGAATCACAATAAAGGGGCATGGGAGAATAATGGGTCAGGGATTATTCTTAATTTTAGCTTACGCACGGCCAACCAAATCCTCCGCTTTTTAGTTATGTGACCCTGCCTGAGAAGCCTTCCAAGCTAGTAACTAGTTAAGTCTATTTTAAGTTTGAACTTTAATCGCACCGTTTTGGGTCGCGCGCTGTTTTTGTGTTATTGTTATGGTTTTCGGATATCGCATCTTCAAGGTAGCTAGCAACTTATGTACCAACTGGTCTTGCGGGTTATATATCAACTCCTAGTTTTCTTTCTCTGGAGGATGAATACATTTAAACGGCCAACTATCGCAATAAACGTAGCTATGAGACTTCGAAATATTTCTCATAACATATATATAACCTCTTAGCATTCCCAACCCATCTAAATAGAAAAGAAGCAAGTCTTCGGGGAATGCTCTTTCGTAGAAAAAAATTCTAGCAGGGGGAGATTGGTTTTTGGCAAAAGAACATGTACAGTTTTTGTGTGTGTGTGTGTGTGTGTGTTTCATTTACCCTGACCTCTCCCTGGGGATATGCAGGCTACAACTACCTTCTTCCGTCCACCCCCTTCTCTTCCCCCCCAGCATGAGTGATGTATTATTAAAATTAGTTTCTACATCTTGCCGTAGTTTCCGTCTTAGATTAACTATTTTCGGGCAGTCCACTAGTACATGTACGACTGTCTCTTTAGCACCGCATTCACATTTGTCGTCTTCACGGAACCGATATGCTTTGGCGTGTGAGGCCAGCCACGAGTGGCCGGTCCAGAGCTGTGTTAGTAGGTACGCCCGGTTTCGCGGTAAGGTGCCGTATAGGTATCTGGTGTGGTTCGCGGGCAGCGAGACGTCGATGCGCCTGAGATGCGCCCCTTTGCTTGACGACTTCCATTCGCTGTCCCATTCGGCCAAGATTCTGTCTCGAATAAATGCTTTCTCTCGCGAGAGCAGATTCCGAAACGGGTGTGATGGTTGTATTCCGACTGCTTCTTTGGCCAGACGGTCTGCTGCGTCGTTTCCGGGGTTATCACAGTGGCTGGGGATCCACTGAAGGCGGATGCTAACATCTTGCACCTTCAACTCTCGGGCCGACTTGGTGATGGCTCGTACGATGTGTTGTCCAGACCCGTTACGTTGGTTCGCCAGTGTTTGCAGGGCGGACTTACTGTCGCTAAGGATGGTTACCGTCCTCTTGTCTTGGGTTTGTTCCTCTTGTCTCTCTTCGGGTTTGATTAACTCGATGGCAGTTCCCACCCTCAGAAATGGGATGTTGCCGTACGATTCCCGGGGGCCCATGTAAGAGGCGGCTTTCCTCAGGTGTCCTTCGCCGGCGCTGTCTAGAAACTCTTTCCAGTGCGTTGCTTTTGCTTTCTCTATCACTCTGGTCCATGCTCGCGTTTCTTGCGCATCTCCTTGAACAGGAGCACGATCTGTGGGTCTCGGGAACCTCTGGCTGCGCAGCTTTCTTGCCACCTGCGTCGGGCTCGGTTCGCCTCGCCTTGTTGTGCCTTCAGCTCCGGTGTGAACCATTATTTAGAGTACGGCGACGGCTTCGCTGTTGGAACATGCCGATCGATGGCATCCGTAGAAGATGTGATCAACATCTCGACAGTTATTCAACTATGAACATGGAATTAAGCACGTATAGAGAACTTATTCTGGCAGGTTGCATGATGCAGTATCTTTCTTCGATATTAGGCTGGTATAGTTGGGCGAACCTGTCTATATCACAAGTACAAGGGTCTATTGGATATCTACAACTTGTTGAGGGTAGTTAATGGTATTGGTGTCTTTGGTATGGTGATAACTACGAGGTCACCGGCCTAAAGTCGTTTCCATTAGTACTGCGCTGATTTTATATTATATTAATAGTAGGTATATTGTATGAAACGTTAACTCTGGGTGTCTGATATACTACATAACCCGGCGCTCAAGACTGATATTATAAGTCATGCGGCAAAGTCGCCGGGAAAAATCAAAGACATGTTCAGCACTTTCGAGGCAGTGGCAGAACAAATAAAGAAATTAACAAAGGACGGAAGATGCCGAACGATCCTCCCCTATAGATGGGCCGGTGGATCTGCCGCCCTACCGGATGGAGCTAAATTTTCCGTCGACGCGGTTATCTTGTCACCGCGGCTTAGATGTCGGCTGCTGCGTCGAGAGCTGATTATGTTTAAATGAATACCCGAATTAGCCTTTCCTTGCCTGTCGTTGAAACTAGGTGGGGGTTTTGAGCTCGAGTCCGAGTTAAATGGAGGCACTTTCAGTGAATAATTGGGAGGTGTCTTTCCAGGGCGTGCCTTGAAGAGGAGGCGGAAGGTTGGAAGGCAGCCAACAACCATAGCTGGAGAGAAAGGCCGTTAGTCATAGGCCCTATATAAAGTGGTAAAAATCAAGGGGGAGCGACAGGTAGAAGGGCCTGGTGATCCACTTACCGGTGGTGGCTTCCACGGTTCCCCAGAGAGAAAACCATTGGACGTTCGGGTTTGTAACTCCCGTCTTAGAGCCAATCTGAACGAGGCGGATTATGGCGGTGATCATGCAAAGCATGCCGACAGAAAACAGGGCGCCCGCCCTTATCTTTTGTGCGTGGGAGATATGCATTGCGAAGACGAGCCTCAACGGGAGGATCATAACTATATTATGGTGTAAGCATTGCCATTTTCACTATAAAGTATTAATATATGGGAAACTCACTCAGCAAATCGGTTGAGACATCAGCTGCAAACCAGCCAAACAAGCTCAAATTTCGCGTTATGCCGTCTATATGGCTTTGACAGTATTCTATATGCCCTGTTAGTGACTTCTCTCTCTTTGTCCACACATATTGAAAGGTGGGCAGCCGGTTTCAACGTACTTTTCGTAGTTTGGCCAAGCTGATGGGGCCCACCGCAGGACAGCAGCGTTACAAGGAAGCCGAAAATATAAGTGAGGATTAGATATCCCAAAGCCATCTTCCACCAACGGAGCTGCTCCGGCAGGGCAGACATGAACTGGCGGAAGAAGAGGAGCAGGGAGATTTTAATGCACCAGAGCGTTGCATAGAAGAGGTAGGTTGAGACGTTGGCAAGGACAACCACATTGTGTCTCTCGGCCATGATCTCTTTGTAGTATGGCTTCATGCCTAGAGCCACATAGCTCAGACGGTAAACCAGAGGCTGAAGACTGAGTAGGACGATTTCATGGGCGAGAAAAAACGCATACCCAAGCACGATGAAGATGACTTCTGGTTCCATAATTCGTCTGTGCCGCCATCGGACGTATGCAGTAGGGAGCAGGATGAGCGAGCCGAGGACCATCATGAATACAATGAAGATGAAGAGGCTCTTCTCACCGATCCAGATTTCGGCGGTCGGGTCGACCTTCGGTGGTGTATTGGCGGTCATCGTTGCTTCAGTTCGGAGACGGTAGATGTGCAGAGGATAATTTGATAATGATCCGACAGAACCGACAGCTCCCAGGTCCCAAACGAGGATATTATATTCAACAACTGAGCCATCTGAAGCGCCAAACCATTAGGTTTCCTTGAGTTAAGTAGTCATCCCTGTTATCTTGAGAGTAACTATGCCATCCACACCCAAATACTGAATGTAGACTTGGTACTCTATAGAATGGGGAAAGAAAATGGAAAAAGAAAATGGAAGGTCAGGCCTGCCACGCCATGTTAGTGGTATATATTTTCAGGGTCTGGGGCATATAAGCGCAAAGCTTGAAGCTGGGCCCGGCATTAACTAAAACATCACTGGCGCGATCTCCATACTGGCCTAGTCAACCGATGGCTTGCGGCTGATCAAGAGGTCCCAGCGAGCCCAGCAGCGCTAGATTCCACTTGACATCGGGCCAAAGCTGCAAGTCTGATCCTCCTGAGTCCACTCCAAGGGACAGTTAGAGCGTCAAGAGATGTATGTCGTTGGTGATCAAATGGAGATCGATCGTGATATTTCAGTCGCAAAGGAGAAATTATGGAGAGTCTCAGTGGATACCTGACTAAGCATAACCACATCAATCCCAGACGAATTTCTTCAGCAGCATACCTACCAGGACGGGCTGCAAAACTGAGGACATCCAGTGGCTTCAACGGGCGTCGACGCTGACGAGCAGCTAACTCGTACGGAGTAATTTGAAGCTCTTTTGCTTTAATGAATAGCGCCACCATCACCGAAGCTACGGACACGGGAACTGTACGGACTACTCCGTACAACGGGAGGAAAAGTCACTTTCACGAATCTTGCAAGCAGGTTCTGCTGGGCTTGACGGAGCGATCTCCAGAGGCTGACTTCCCTCTCGTTCCACGAGCTGTGATCCAGACTGTGGTCTACATGGTGGCTAGGACCCACACGAAAAACTCAGGACAGGACGACAGGCTCTCGAAACGCTACTAGGTTTAGCTGTTCGTATTACGCCTTGTCTGGAGCGTGCGTTGGCCACCTACGGCCCTTTAGGCAGGTTATTCATTGCAGTTCAATGCCTTTTGAAGGAGTGAGGATGGTGATAATGCTGATAACAATTCTCGAAATTATGGATGATTATATTACTCTTCTTAGGGTACATAATAAACCCTAGCATTAGTACGACTTCGGCGCCTCTCCAACCTTTCTTGAACACTATCGAAGACCAACGATCGGACTAATAAGGAGCACCAGTGAAGATGATTGCTATCCCAAGATGCCGTTCAGTTCGACAGGAGCCTAAGCATAATCACATGTGAGGACTAACAGAGCATGTATGTACCCCTTACGGAGTACTTCGTATGTATATCACCGTATGGGGCGCTCATCCTCCATAGATTCGAAAGGGACACGCATCTTTTCTTACTTAGTCCTTGAAATAGTTACGCGATTGTGGCTTAAGTCAAGACGCTATCCCCACGCAACCCCACGCCGCCCAAAGCCCAAAACCCAAAGCCATGGTCCAGCTGGACCTGGAATCCTTCAAAGCCGTGCTCAAACTGGGCACTAAAAGTGCAGACATAACTTCGAATGTGCAAAATTTCTAACGCCTTCTGCCGCGAGTGGGCACCAATCATATCAGTCTTAACCGAAAATAAAAGCATATAAGAGAGGAATAGTCTTTATGAGGACATTTACGCACTAGACATCATGGTTGCAACGGTAAAGCATTGACGCTCTACGGAGTACTCTCGTCCAACGGCAACTAATTGTGACTCCGGGCTATCAATCCCCCGTCGTTTTATAGGTTGATAGCGTGGGGGCACGGTTGGTTGCTGAGCCAAATAACTACATACTTCAGCTTGCAACAAGCCTTTCACTGCGCGTCGGCAAATTTGACAGAAGCAATATAGTGACATATCTCGCCGTCTGGCGACCTCACCATCAGTGTATTCAAAAGGGATACGCATTTTCTTAAATTCGTGAGTACACGTTTGTGGCTGCGAATTAGGAAACTATTCCTTTTATTTTTCCCTTTCCACCAAGCCTCCATCATACCTTAGGGTTCGGGCGGCAAAAGTATTCTTGAAGGTATTAATGATTACCCAGCTCGAGAAAACCTACTCCATAATGCTTTTGCGGTCCAGGTGCCTCAGTTACCAAATATAATATCTCCGGTTGGAACCTGGGAGTCCTTAATTCTGTTAGATCATACTCAATCATCTTCCTGCACATTTTCTCCGAATCCGAACTGAATAAAAATATGATACCCAAGGCTCCCCCGAAGGTGGACCCGACTGCTCAGATCTGGATTAGCGAGAATAGTCTCTTCATCTCTATTGTCTTTATGATGGTTTTTGGCTCTATTATCCTAGTTCCTACAGCATACATTCGGTGGAGATATAAACGACTTATGGAACCCGAGGTTATCTTTATCGTGCTTGGGTACTTGTTTTTCCTCGCACACGGACTTGTTATGCTGAGCCTTCAACCCCTTGTCTACCGTTTGAGCTATGTAGCTCTAGGCCAGAAACCTTACTACCCGGAGATTGATATAGAGAGACATCAGGTGGTCAACTTCGCTCATGTCTCAACCTACCTCTTGCATGCCACTCTCTGGTGTATAAAATTCTCTCTGTTTCTCCTCTTCCGCCAGTTTATAAGGGCGCTGCCTGAGCAGCTACGTTGGTGGAATATGGTTTTGGCCTACCTGATTATCACTTTTATCTTTGGCTTTTGCGCAACTTTCTCGTCCTGTGGAGGCCCGAGGCATCTTATGCATATTCGTAAAACTACGTACACTAAAAGCACGTTGAAATCTCTAAGACTATAGGTACTCAGAGTGAAATTTGCTAACATGGTGTACACAGATTATTGCCAGGGCCCTGCTAACAGTCGCTCTCGAAATGTGAGTTTGTTTGGCTGGTTCGTGGCAGACATCACAACCGATTTGCTCAGTAAGTCCCCATATAATAAGAGTGACAGCAAATTTTACATTACTCATGCCGTACTATAGTCATGCTCTTCCCGTTAAGGCTTGTCTTCAAGATGCGTATCTCCCGGGCCCAAAAAATTAGGGCGGGCGCTCTGTGTTCCGTTGGCATACTTTGTATGATTACTGCTATACTACGTCTTGTTCAGATTGGCTCTAAGACCGGATCCACTAATCCAAACGTCCAATGGCTCGCTCTCTGGGGTACGCTAGAAGCCACGACTGGTAAGTGGATCATACCGGACCTTCGATTTTTCGCCTTTCTCCCACCTCTATCATCCCTTCATATGGCAAACAGCTAATGACCTTGCTCTGCAGGTATCGTTGTTGGATGCCTTCCAACCTACCGCTTCCTTTTCAAGCCATCCGCTGGAAGGACATCCGACGTTTCGCTGGGGGTACCCGATGGCTCGAACGTGGAATCGAGCTTGGAGATACCATCCGAATCAAGCGCGAAGGAGAGTTCCAAATCGACAATCCATTTGAACGCATTTAATCCCCGACGAAGCAGTCGGAATTTCAAACGTGGTAATAAGATTACCTCGTCGATGGAAAATCTGACTCCACCAAGCAAGGCCGCAGGTCCGCCAGTCGCTTCCACATGGGAGGATCATCCAGCGCCTTCCAGCGCTGTTTAATTAGTTTTACTGTTCTGGCACTTCCTAGAAGTGCTAGACCATGTTTTTGATTTAGCACATTGATTGTGCCCCGTGACCTATAAAATCGATTTTGAGCGCAGGGAATTTAAGTATAAGGGATACCCCGGAGTTTATACCAAAAGTTTTATTAGTGTGGATGTTTTGTCTATTGTTTCGTTCAAATATATCTACTATTAATATTCCAGTCGAAATCATTTAAGTACTAATCCAATTGGATGGTGACTTGACTTGTTATCATCGAGGTAATATTAATCAAACCATCTTAAAAGAATTTCACTTGTTATAAATGGCTATATAAATTCGTTAATATCCCACGTTTTCAACCACAAATTGTCCATTTACCATGGTATATCATTCTTGCAGATCTCGTAGATCCTGCTGCGGTCAGTAGCACCATGTGGGGCAGCTGAGAATCGTTCTCAATATACTCTTGGCCAAAGTAACCACCTTACAGCGGAAGGCAGAGGCGGCCGGATGACAGTTCTTCTGCTGCAATTGATCAAGACTTGTCTGTACCAGAAGCCCTGAATAGTCCATTGTTCGTACCTTCCGCAAGCGACCTCTCCACGTAGCCGGAATCTCTAGGCGGAGAACAGTCTCCAGATGAGAGCGGTGACTCCTCAGCTTTATCAGAACTTGCGGATGAGGATCTGCAACCACCTGACCGTAGCAGCGTAGCCATGGGTCTTCCTACAGCTCAGTCTGACCCTCCTTCCCCTACGGGGCAGGCTTCAAAGAGAACTCTCCATCGTAAGCCGAAATCACAGCATTGCAAGGTTGTCAAGGCGACAGTTGCCCGGGATAAGTTTGGCCAAAAGAAGCTTTTAACGAAGCATAGTTTGGTGGAGAAGTGGCCACGGCCTGCAACCGAAGAACTAAAAATATCGAATAATCCGTCCCTGGCAAGGTATGCTCTTTCCGATCCAGATCTTCAACAGACCCTGGAAGCCGGTGAAGGGCTTATCGGCGAAGGCCTTTCCGAACACCAGGGCTCCTGTATGTGGAGGGAGAAGGGCTTTTGGTCCGAGGATGCCCTCAGTCTTCCTATTTTAGTAGATTCCTCGGCTGAGGAGAGGTTTTGTCGAGACTATCGTTACATCAACGCACAGTTAACCCGACGTTCAGACCAGAAGCTACGGCTCCGCATCTCACATGCCCTGTTGTACCTTTCCTTTTGAGTCCCTGATGCAAGAGAAGCGAGGTGGCATGCGTTCGGGGGGCAGGAGAAGCCTGACCAACGTCGTGCCGCAACCTTCTCTGCAGATTACCTGCTGGAGCGCTCGTACCCAGAGATGTGGGGTTCGATGGATGTCCAGATGAAGCGGGCACTGCGGAGCCAGCTTCATGAGCAAAAGAGACAGGGTAGCCGGTGTTGGCGAATGGCAAGCGTACTAGGTGTTGGAGCTCTGCTTGCCTGTGGAGATACCCTAACTAGGGTGATGTAAGCAATCCTATCTCCTGTCCAGACAAGGATGCTCACCCACGCCGTACAGCAAGAATCACGGCAGATATCCTCTCCCGAAATTTGATGCAATTATCAGCTATGTTGCGAATGCTTATCCTGGTGTGGTGCGCCTTTTCCACGAATTCGATTCCTTGGTGAAGCAAATTTTGCTTGGAGAAACGTTCACAGCCCAACCCACCAGGCAGACGATCGACGATGGAATCTGCCAGACGGCTGCGACAAAGCTAACCCTTCAGCAAGTTGAAGAGAACTGGTAGCAAATTGACCCCAGCTCCGCCTCCCGGAAACTGATTGAAGAGTTTGTCAGCGATTTCGCACAGGCACAATGAACAAGCAAGCCTGCAGGCAGCTTATAATAGTATGTGGCTTTTCTGACTACTCTGACTCAGCAGGGCTCTCGTTGGAAATTTCCAATGAGGCCTTCCTTATCTTTCAGATGCGGTTAAGGCTGAGCTTAGTCAGCATGTACTGTGGTGTAAGCAGGAAAGGGAACCGAAATAATTCAGACAGAAAATCCCCTTTAGCCGCCTTTCAGTGTGCAAATTTCCCTCTTTTTCGGGACGACAGGGCGGATAACCCATGTTATCCTAACAAGTTAACTTATACCGTTGACGACCAAGGCAGATGTCGGGAAGGCCGCCTGGTAGAGCCGGTCTAACTAACTTTATAGCTGTGTTTGGCAACTTTGACTATAGTGGAAACCCGAGAAGAGTGATACATACTCTGTACGTGCGTTGTTCCAAGATATTGCGTCGACAATGGTTATTCGCGATTTTCTGAGTGACAGTTTCTGCTCCACCTTTATCTAATCTTAGAATGTTTGTTGTTCGATTTTCATTGGACCGGTCAGATGATATTCAAGTCTGTTCATCGTCAATATCAACTTACTATACTACTGGGTCGATCCCCAGGACCGCGAGCGGATTCCAGAGTTGGACCTGTGGCATGGTGGGGTGCGTCGAGAGGTATGGTATGTGTATCCGTCGAATGGGAACTATGCCTGTAGCTAGCTTGATGCCTGGCTCTCTGACGGGAGGCAGGCTATTCTTTATACCCTTTACCGCGCAAAGTCGCGGACTAGTTTCAAGGTGGCCCCTACGTGGTCTCGAGGTCCCAGGAACACCCCGTGGGTTCCCAGGAACAGAAGCGGCCCCAGGCACGCGCAACAGGCTCGCGGGAACATCTGCCCAATTCCTAGGAACGACCCAGCGGCTCGTGGGAGCCAAACCGATCCTGGGAGCCGCTTACCCGCTCCCGGGAACGTCCGCATCCACAAATGCCGCGTGGGGCAGGCATACGTTATTGGGTGGCTGACTGTGAAGGCGTCAATGGCGACATGCGTTGGCCGCCTGCCGTGGCATGTGCGAGTTGTGCGAGAAAGCTACGGGATATAAGAGGCCCCTCTCCCACAACGGCAGGCGTCGAGCCACCGCCATCCCCACGGGGATAAGCAATTCTTCGAGGCCTCGCTGCTTCAACACGCTCCATCCTTCCTGAAGGAGGCCGCGGCCGGTATTTCCACCAAACTTATCGTCATACACGGCGGACAGGAGCCCTCGGACGATCATTCCATACTTGTGATGTTCCGCTACTTCGCGACACGTTCGCGAGAAGCTCAGGCGTGCGATGCGAGTAAGGTCGTCCCAAGTATCGGGTGGCGCTAACACCTGGACGGCGGAGCAAAAGGAGTAGAGGTCGGGGAGCTCCTCCGATATCGGCGCGAGTATCTCCAGCGGTAGGTTCCTGAGGCTGGTCCCGGCCATGGTATCGGTGGTCGCGACCGCGGTAGCAGCTTTGGAGGCCTTGACGGGTCCTGGGGCAAGTTTTAAGCTGGCCGTAGGCGTCGAGCTGCGGGGCTGAGGGTTCTCGGCAGCGCGTTCTTCGGCCGCAGGAGGACCCACCATGGAAGGCACGCGTGTTGGGGACAATGCACGCTACAAGACACATCGCAAAAATTAGGCAAACGATGTTTTCAAATACTGCGCTGCTTCTAGATGGATACCTCAAATAGATCGCTTACGCTTTTTCTCCCTGCCCCCAACCTCCTTCCTCCCCTCCTCCCGTTTTTGGAAGATACAATACCTCTGTCGAACCGACGACAGGGTCCTCAAGGGGAAAAGTTCCTCCACGTCGTCCTCCGTCGGGGGGCTGTCCTTCTGCACCAGGGACAAGAGTAGCTCATCCTCCTTCTTTGACCATCGGCCCCTCTTCCCCCTGTGGCCGACCGCAAATTTATTATACCCAACGCCACCAGCACCCGCAGTGTCGTCGTTGCCCTGTGCGAAATGTGGAGCGGAGAGCAGCTTTACTATGCACGTGGCGACCGTCGAGGCGAACGTGTACATGTCATTTTCCAGCACGCGGCGGTTTGACGGCCTCGTTGCGGCATCGACACCGGCGACATCTGGCGCGTGACTTCTCTGCCGTTTGAGGGATCCGACCGGCGGCTGGCAGTCGTCCTCATCGTCCTCGTCGCCTTTGTCATTCGTGTAGTCGTCGTCGTCGTCTTCGTCTTCTCCGCCGCCGCCGCCGTCAGTTGAGGCGCGATCTACCTCCAATTCTCGACCGCGTCGTGCTAGATCACTCCGCGGCTTAATGGCTTGCAGTCGAGCACGCGGCGACCCGGACGCGCCCTCGGGTGTAAGTTCGCGTATCAAAGGGACCTCCACAACCACACGGGGAAACGATGGCTTCCGTGGTGGGGGAGGAGGGGCAGGAGACGGCGACGGCTCCGACTTGATGAACGTCCCGTCGCAACCGTCATCCACCGCCGGAGAGGGAGTGCGGGGCAGGTCGACACGCTCACTCGGCGGCACAGACATGGCCACGATGGACGTCGTCCTACTCCCACCTCCTTCCTCTCCGTCCAGATCGTCAATCACGATGGGGTCCTCTGCGGATTCACAAGGCGTCAGGGCGTGAACCGTTCAGCATGGGGAGGAAGAGCAAACGAACCTATATGATTGCCGGCTTCTCCTCTATCCGGTCCGGCCGCGGTGAACGGTGATACGGGCGTGCTTGGGCATCCGTACCCGCACGATGCGTCGCCTGACCTTCTGTCCAGGGTCGGGGGTGTAGGTGACTCGGGGATGACGGGCAAAGCCTCTAATTTTCCATCAGCCGTTTGGAGTCGGGCTACCGGAGGACGGAACCTACCTGGACGTGAAGCCTCGTCTGACCCGTCACTCGGCACGGCGGATAGCTCCCGCTCGGCAGGAGCCTCCGCGAGGGAGTCAAACCCCGTCAGGTCGAGAAGTTCAATCTCATGGCCTGCGGCCAGGGCGAGGTTGAAGGGGTTCGGAGGCATCTTCGGCTGCTATGGGCGGCCCTGTCCAGCCGTGGAGGCGGATAGGGCATGAGTTAAAGGGGAAGCCGCCGCCTCTGCAGGGCGAGGGGGCAAGGGGTGCTGGAGGTGGAGAGGAGGGGGTAAAGGTGTCTACGAACTCGCTGAGGGCACAAGAGGGGTGGGAAGGGGAACTACGAGGACGGGTTTTGGACGGCTGGAGGGGATAAAGGGCATAGAGGGTGTGTAGACGGCCATATCGTCAAGGTTGATCGCGAGAACCATGGTTGCCGACTCTAGGGGTGGGGCGTGCTGCGTTTCGTGCTATGTGTCTCTGGCTGGGCTGGAAAAGGGGGATTATGGGCGGTGCTGGTGCTCGCTGAGTGCTGCTGGCTTGTGGGATCCGTGAAAGCTCGCGGGACGCAGCGGCCCTTTATAGACAAGACTCCGAGTCCAGGCGAAGGGGAGAGGGATACATCCCGCACAAACGCAAACTTTCTCTCCTCCTGCGGTGAGCACAAATCCTGGCCGCGGCAGCCCACTCTCCCCTCGTCCGCCTGCATTCTGCGGCTTGTATCCGCATATCAATCCCGAGGCTTACGGGGGCGTTGTTGATGCAAACCAACGAGCATTGAGAGCTGGAAGCTGACGTCGGCCTCGCGTAGTATTCCTAGCCACCCGGCCCCAAATCACCCCCTGATCGACTTCAGCTCTACATGGGATGGGGAGGGGAGAGGAGAAGCTGGTCAGACAAGTCACATCCGTACTTTTCTCGCATGCACATGCACTGCCTCTGTGACATGCGCTCACCCCTGGACCATCGATATTCGGGCCAGGGAGGCCAATCCTACCGTGATTTCCGAATTCCATCCCCTACCCCAAAGGGGGCTTCCACGTCAAGGGATTCAGGCGTCAAGAATGCAACCCGTGAGAATCGGATGCCCACAGGGCGGGCAGGCGCTGCGGATGGTAGACTAAGCCTGAAGTCTCCACGAAATCGTTCTGGGAGGACCCCCTCCACGTCAACAGGGTCGGTAGTCAAAAATGCAGCGCCGTGAGAATCGAAATTGCCCTGGCCGCCTCCCCTGGGCTATTTTGCTGCGCGAACGCCACTGCGACCTGCGGGATCACAATCCTGGAAACCGGAAACCCTGGCCGCTGACGACGAAGCGGACAACGCAGTCGATGCGCCGTAGGACGGGCTGAGAATCCACCGTCTCGCGTCCGGGTTTCACCGAGATTGAGGCATTTTTGTCATTGGCAGAGCGAGGTGGCACGCGCAGCACACCGGAGATTGGAAATTAACGGGAAACGAGGAAGGCCAGGCCAGGAGAAGGGGTAGGGAGGGGGGGGGAAGAAGGCACGGTGGACGGCGCCGGGCACACGCAGTCGAAGAAGAAATTGGGAATAGAAGATACCAGATTTCGGGTGGTTACGTGGAGTGAGAGGGCGTCCGAGGCCATGGGTATGTCGGCCGGCGAACCCTCACGGTAGAGTCCATTCAGCCAGTGCTGGAAACGAAGAGAGGAGGGAGAGGGAGATGAGAGGCAACGGAGCCCACGGCACGCCGGGGGACCTCGGGGTGTACGAGAACGAGACAATGCAGGGGGCGCAGGCGAGGCGAGGCGAGACGGGATGGGGAGGGCCGAAAGGCAAGGCAGAGATGCGAGCGTGGAGGAGGGAAAGGGAAGAGGAAGTGCGTGTGCGATGGAGGAGGTCGACGGGATTTATATAGATGCGGGACGTCGCGATGCCGGTTTTGATGGGGTGGAAGGTCGGCGCGCCAAACCCGAAGCGGAGAGGACTAACCGGAAGGGGAGGACGCCATGCCCGAAGGGGGAAGGCGCGGGTGCGACGGGCTCCACTTGCTATTATTTTGTTTACTTAATAAAAGAATATATATAATAATTATAATTACTAATAAGATATTTAATTATTTTTATATTAAAGAAAGATAGAAGTTTATAATTATATATAGATTACTAATAACTTAATAATATAATAATTAAAAACTAATATTTATTACTATTTATTAATAAAATATAAAATAGATTTAAAGGAATAATATATTTTATAATATTAAATATATAAAAAGTCTATTATTAAATATAAATAAAAAAAAGTAAAGAATAGAAAATAGTATTTAAAATATAATTTAATTATATAAATTTTTAATTATATCTTTTAAATTAACTAATATATTAGTAATAATAAAACCTCTAATAGATTTATTTAAAAAAATATATAAATATATTTTAACTTAAATAGAGAAAATTATCTTAATATAAATATATTAAACTATATAATTAAAATATAATTATAATAGAAAAATAATATAGAAAAACTAAAATTAGTTATATATTATATAAGAACTATAACTTTTATAGAATAGAATTATAATATTTATAATATTTAAAAAATAAAAATAAAAGCTTTAAAAAATAAAATATCTAACTATAATTATTAATAATTACTAAAATTTAATATATTTTATAATAACTAAGAAATCTATTTATTAATAGTTAAAATAGTATATTAAAGTACTAGTCTATTATAACTTTAAAATATAATATTATAAAGAAATAGAAAATATCTTTATAAATATATTAAATAAAAGATTAGATTTAATAATAAAGAGAAGAGAATCAAAAGTAATATTATATCTAGATCTAGATACTAAAAATATAATCTTAGATTAGTAAATATTAAAAGCTATTTAAATAGTTATAATTAAAGAAGATACTTTAATAAATAAAATATAAAGAATAATAATAAAAAATCCTTTATTTAAATAAATTAAAGATAATAATAAAAAATATAAAAAAGAAAATAGATTACTTTTATATTAAAAACTAATATATATATTTAAAGAAATATAATTATAAATATTAAAAGATAACTATAATATAAAGATTATAAAATATTTTAGAATTAAAAAAACTATAAATTAAATTATATAAAACTATTATTAGTTAAAAATATAAAGAGAGATTAGATAATATATTTAAAAGTATAAAGTTTACTAATAAAATAAATTAAAATAATATATATTTTATAAACTTTTATAACTAATATTATATAAAGAAATAGTATAAAAATTAATAATAATAAATTTTATAGTTAAATTTATTAAAGTTAATAAAACTATAAATAAATATTTAATATAATTTAATAATTTATAATTATAGATAAATTAATAAAATATATTTATTTTATATTATTTATTAAAAAAACTATATTATTAAAAATAATATATATTCTATTATAATATATCTTTATAAATAAAGAATTATTAAATAAAATTATATTAAATAAAGATATAAAATTTATATATAAATTCTAGATAATACTTATTAAAAGTATAGAGATTAAATAAAAAGCCTTAATAATATATTATTTATAAATAGATAGATAAAGTAAAAGAATAAACTAAATAATAAAATAGTATCTAAGATATTATATTAACTATAAATAGAATAATTAGATCTTATTATTACTAATAATATAGCTTATTTATAATAAAGTAAAGAAAGCTTTAATAGATATAATATTTTTCTTTATAAACTATTTAAAATTTTAGAAAAAATTAAATAATTTAACTATAAACTCTAGCTCCCTAAGTATATATAAATATACTTAATATTTTATATCTTTTTAATTAAAAAAATACTTTAGAATACTAAACTATATAAACTAGAAATATAATCAGAAAATTAAGAAAAAGAATATAAAGTTAAAAAAATCCTAAATAAGAAAGTAATTAGTAGATAAACTTACTATTTAGTTAAATAGAAAGAATATAATTTTTTAGAAAATACTTACAAACTTATTAGGTATCTAAAGTATTTATAGCATTTAGTAAAGGACTTTTATTAATAGATAAAGAATTAGAAAAAAGAAAACCCTTAAGAAGGAAATTAATAGAAGGACCATTATTTAATAGAGGACTAGCTAACTTCTTAGTAGTAGTAATTATTTTATTACTATAGAACTAAAGATCCACCTTTATAGCTTAAAAGCTAGTAAGACGATAAGACTTCTCTATTATAAGATAATTTAAAGTAGTTAATTTATTCTAAAGATAAACGGCTTAAAAGAATAAAAGAGAAAGTATTAAATAACTATTAAAAATATAATATTAAGTCTAGAACTTACACTTCTTCTAGTAAGTCTACTTAATTAAATTAGAAATATATTTAATATAAGGATAGTTATTATAAATATAGATAGAATATTATATAATATAATAACTTAATAATAATTTATCTATTATAATATATAGAGTTAAAGAATAAAAATAATTATTATAAAAAAAGTTAAAAGACTATCTATAATAGTTAATAGTTATAGCTAAGATATAAAGTTTAAAAGCCTAATTATAAAGAGAGTAAATAGATTTTTTAATATCTAATTTAGAAGCTATAATAAATAAAAGAAAGAAAAAAAACTTACTTAGGAAAAAAGAAAGACAAGAGGGAAATATATTTACTTTTTATATAATTTATTAAGATAACTTAATAGAGAAGGAGGGAATAATATTATAGACTATCTGTAGTATAGTCTAAATAAATATACTTATTAAATAATAAAATTCTAGAATAGAATAGCTATTTAAATTATATAATTAGTAGTCTAATATATTAAAACTAAGGATAATCTAAATAATAGACTAATACTTTAATCTAAATAATAAATTAAAATTATAATTTTAGAGATAGACTTTAACTATAATCTAAATAATAGACTAAAAGGAAAGTATATAAAATAGACTTTTAAAGAATATATATAAAAATATTTATTTTTATAGAATTAAAAAATTTATACTTATAATTAAACTGTCACAAGCTGACGGCGCTCCTCGATTATCTAAAGGTAATCAGAGGTTCACACCTGCTGTAAGACAGAAGGTACGAAGGTCTTAGGGAAAGCTTGGGTTAGAAGTAAGTCGTTATAGAAGACGGCTCGGTACTAGGGTGAGATAGAATACTATAGCGAGACTATCCCTCAGTTCTAAGTGTGGCTTC